TATATGGGCTCTCGGAAGAGCCCGTGGCTTCTCGGCCGGGTCCGGGAGCGGGGCTGTACGCACACGGCAGCGATGATAGGGAGGGAAGCCGGCTCGGTGAAGGGGTGGCGGCGTGTGCCCCATGGTCAAGTGTGGGACACGTGGCGCCGTCGCATAGCAGCTCCGTGAATAACCCTTCGGATCAGGTTGATAGTGTGCCATCAGATTAGTTGCATGTCATCACACGGCCTGCCTGCGACGGCGTTGAGCGGGTCCAGGACAGTCACAGAGCGAACCCAACTTCAATCCGCAAGGATTGGGAATGTGGAAGTACAGCAGGATAGGTGGCAGTTGTGGCACCTTCGTAAAGTAGGGAGGGTACCCGCCTATTGAATCAGTCCCCGCCGAGCTGACCAGTTTGCAAGCAAGCCTGGGATATTTGACTGTGAGCGCGATCTGCATATCCCTTGGCCCATGCTCCAATGAGTCTGTAGACCAGCGGGTGCAAAACTGCCAAGGACATCATCGGCCGCTGGCACCCCGAGGGATACCTGGTTCACCCTCAGTAACCACCCACATCTTCCTAATGAAGCACCCATTGACACACTCCTGGGCACTGACCACATTGACAAGGCCAGGCCACTACAATTCTGAGCCCGATAGCAGGTAGATCTACGTTGTTCTCTAGAAAACAAGAAGGTGCCTTTCCACATTGTCATGTTTCATTCTTCAACATCCATGGTGGACGCGACAATGAAAAGGGAGCCAACTCCCTGTCCATTGCGAACAGAAACCATAAGCTCCCTTGTTAAAACTGCCGTTATTCACGAGTATCGGCACATCAAAGGCGGGCTCATGACCGAGATTGGGCAGCTGACTGGGCCGCTATTAACAGCCAGACAGGATGAAACGTCAAAAGGGGAGAAGGGAGAGATGGAAATAAAAAACAGATAATGTTGTCTAAAGCCGCAAGGGAATTTCGTGAATGTGTCAATGATGTCAACGACAAATGGATAAAGCGTCAGAAGGTCGTCACGCCTTACAATCTGTGGTGCATGACTGGATGCCTGAAAATGATGGTAAGAGGACGGCGGAGGAGACAACAAGGCAGTTCGACTCCCACCAAGGCTGCATGCTTGTGGATGTATTGAAAAGCGTTGACCATATGTGACTGAAGCTCGACTATTCATAAACATGAACGCTCAGAATTTTTAAGAGGGGTCACATGTTTGTTCCATGAAAAGGCCAGCGCCAGGAGTCTGAATTGACAGCCGCAAATGTTTCCCTTTAAGGGCAGCCCCGAGAGTTCGGATTCCACAGCTGTGTGAGTATTGGACCTCATAACCTTAATATCCCTAAGAATCTGACTGAAGGAAGGCAATCACCTCTATGTGTGGGTTAACTGTTTTGAAGCACTCAGCTCAGGATGTCGCCTGGACACATGGGCAAGAATCAGATGTGCAAGACATGCACGAAAAGACCTGCCATGAGTAAGAGCAGCCTATTTGAGCAGAGACTATGTTCATAGATATAAGATGTGAAAAAGATGATTGAAGATATGGCAGCGAATGAGTGGATAGTGTCTGAAGATAAACAGACTGGAAAAATGGGGCCGCGTTGCTGGAGTTTGGACATGATTCAGTTTCAAAGCCTGCAGCTGGACACGATTGAAAGTGATAGAACATATTGATGACATAGTTTCTGACATAAGGTGTCGGGGACGTCAGCACTAATATGGGCCTATCGAGGCTGTTGGATCTGGAGTCATATGGCCATGCGACAGAAAGGATATGCAAACTGTTATGGCCATTATACACCATCTGATGGCGAGCTTAGTAAACACTGATTAAAACCCGCACCATGGTGAAAATCTAGTTGAACACTACGGTGGTTCGCCAGGAGGTTGGCAGCTGCGCAGATGACTCCAAGCAGTGATCCAGGAGCGCTGAAAAAATGAGCCAAGATGGCCCAGCAATTATACACGTGCCGGTGCATTAAAATGGGCAGTAACTGCCATTGAGGTGACGCTCTGTGCCGGGGCATGGCGGGCAAAGGGATTTGCTGCCATGTGGAACTCACTCTTATGAAGAAACATGACTCATGAAGTAGCACGAATGTTGCAAGACGGACGCGCTGATTTGTGGCCTCGAGTCACTCGAAAGGAGCTTTGGAATGCAACTGAAACCGAACGCCGGTCTGCCACAGCCTTCCCCTGGCTTGACCGAGCGAGGGGACATCCTTTGCATCAACATTTACTTGGGCGTCAGTGGAGCAGTTTGACTGACATCCATACTTGGATGTTGCACTCTGATGAAGCGGGACCACCGTGTGTCGCTTTGACTTCCCACATGCCCAAAAACAGATATTGTCACGGGTACGGAGACACCCCTGTATGTTGCACAGCAAGACCGGGCCTTTTTGCTGTGTCACATGTTCTGACGGCCGAATCAGCAGTATACTATACGCGTATAGTGCCGTGGGAATGGATTAGTTGTGATTATCTGTGATTATCCCCTAAATTATTGCACGAATGCTGAAAGAGTATAAACTATTGATCACGTACGTAAGCTTCGTTGAGTGACCTATTTGGAAAACCTGCGGGGTCCCAAGTACTCACAATGTTGTTGTACGCATTTCACTAGAATAAAAAGGCCGGATGACACAGTCATGACACGGTCAGCACAAAATCCAACTGTGTGCTTTCGGCAAATGTGGTCCCAATACCACACAGTTAGTACACACATCGACACAGTTTCAACCGCGCACCCTCAAACAACTGTGTAAACTACACGGTTTCCCAGGCTACACCGTTGAAACTGCGTCAATGTGTGCATTACCTGTATGGTTTTGGGACCACATTTGCTGAAAGCACACAATTGGATTTTGAGCAGGCCGTGTAATGACTGTGTCACCTGGCCTGTTTTTTACTAATGTTTCTGAGCTGCCTATTGGGAAAACCTGTGGGGTTCAAGCGCTCAGAATGTGCATCAATTGGGTGACCCTACCAGGTTCCAAGGACGGCATGTTAGGTGGGCTGGGAAGCATTCGCAGACATTGGCAAAGTATTGCAAGCGCAAATTAGAGTAATTCATACAAAAAACTGAGTAAACAGGCCTGCAAGAAGTCACCGTGACTTAGGTCCTCTGATGCAGACCAGCATTTTTTATTAGTCATTGATTCTAGTCGGACACTAATTCATTGATATCAAGTCCAATCCGACGTCGAATAATAGACATCATTATAAGTGAGTCATACATTATTCCCATCTATGACTGACGTCCCTGTCCCATCAATCCCCTCCTGGCATGAGCCAGACTAGCCAGGATCCAGAAAAACGGAGAAAGGAAAGGTGGGTCCGAAGCCCCATCACTAAAAGAACGTTGGGTGATTGTCGTCCTGCCTCGTGCAAGGCAGACCTGCCCGCAGAAACACAAAGAAATCAGAGGCCTTCTTTGACAAGTCGCCAGCCTCGCCAACTGAAAGAAATTTGGCAAGGTCTGATAGAAAAGGATATCAAGGATTGATTGTCCAGTTAGTACAACTAATGCGCAGTGCCCGAACTGGATGTCACGTTGTATGCCGATGGTATTCTAATGTCATTGGGCAGTGTCAGGGACACTGAAAATCCAACGAAAGATTGGATAGGAATCTTTATAAACATCAAACAGTTGTTTCATCCTTGAAAAACGGTCATCTGTGGTTTCCTGGTCTCAAGCTTCCTAAACTGAATACTTCTGAAACTGATTCGCATTGTGAGAGTATTAAGGGCCATCAGGAAGTCGTTCGAAATGCTCGGCTGCGCCGTTGCGTCATTGATGCGTGGGAAGTCCTCCAGTTGGCCAATTTGGCTCGGGAAACTGCCCTGGTAAAGGGCCAATTGAGCTTACTGTTGAATCCTGAAAGGAGTCGACGTACCCGACAGGGAGGGAGACACTTCACAGTTGCAGCTGCGCCCCTTACTACACCAGGGGCGAGGACCTGTCCGCAGTCCTAGCCACTTTTAACTGATGTGTACTTTCCTTGCTGGAATGACTTTGGGCTTTGTTATTTCGATAGGATCCCTGTGTCTTGGGATCTGGGTGGGGCATGTCTTGCAAACTAAACACAAAGTCTGACCGTGGTTTATCAGCTTAACTGGGCAGCCACATCATGGTCATCGAAGCTCGATGGGCCTTCTCAACTTGAATTTCTTGCTGACAATCACAGGCTGACAACAATTGGTGTTGAGCACCCTATTATTGTCAGCCTGCGATTACCAGCAGAAAAAATCAAGTTGAGAAGGCCCAGGAGTTTTCTTTGATAAGAGCAGCAACTCCAAGCTGAAAATATGTATTGAAAAGGACGGCCAAGGCGGCTTATTTTCCCCAGTGAAGGAGATGAATACATCTCGGCTGGGCACGTGCCACTGCTACCTGACGTTACATAAAATGATGTGTGAGTCAGATGGTCATTTTGAGTGCTCATTTGGTCTGCTCATTTGATCTGCCCATTACACATTTGACGTCTGGATTTACTTTCAGCTGCAGTATGGCAATCTTTAGAATGGAAAAATTCGCTGCCGCTGCTTTTCTCGGGCAGATTAGTGAATTAATTGCTAGCTTCCCAACCTCATTGTCAAGTGCCCATTGCCGCACATCGATACGTATTCCACTTGAGCCTCTTCCCTTGATTTCTCAGCGACATTGCCATTCGCCCTCCAGCCGAGTCTGTCGCTGAGCTGGCGCGGCGCCCCCCGTGGCCATCCGCTCGAATCCCCCAAGAAGTTCCGAGCCGCGTCCGGGCGGTGCCCAGTAAGCTCCACGCCAGCGCGCCCCTTCCCACGCGGCCGCCGCATTCCCGCAAAAGTGCCAAGCGTCGCGTCCCAGGCTCGCGCCCTCTTATCGGCTCCCAACCGCCGGCCGACGCGCAGGAAATAGAGCCCGCCGCCGCCCCCCCCCCCCCCCCCCCCGCCTATGGCCTCCCGGCAGCCAGCCCTCCCGCTGCTGCCCGCCGCCACTGCCGCCCATGCCGTGCTCAGGAAGATGCTGTCGCTGCACAGGCTGAACCTGAGGCTGCAGCCGCAGCTGGTGCGGTCGCTCGCAGGGGCGGCGGGGCTGTGCGTGGGCGACGCGCTGGGCCAGATGGCGTCCCTTGGGAGGGTGGACGGCCGGCGGGTGGCCAGAGTGGGGGTCTACGGCCTGATGTTCCACGCGCATGCCTGCCACCTCTTCTACTCGGCGATGGACAAGGTGAGGCAGCGGGTCCATCGATGAATATCCCCCCCTCCATCAAGACCGCTTTGATACTTCCGGGTTTGCGGCTGGCGCTGACTCTTGACCCCGTTCTGTGCCTTTCCCCTTCCTCCGTCGAGCAGCTCATATTCCCGGGGAGCCCTGCGAGGTAATGTTCCACCGGCGCCGGCGCGCGACGGCGAATCGCTTCACAAAGGCATTCCAGACGCGGCGACCATCAGGACTGGCATGAGTGTTGATTTGGAAATCATCACACGCGCACGGTGAAATAAAGCCGTTCTCAGTATCGCAAAGCAGTTCCAGCCGCGGCGGCCGTCAAGAGTAGCGCCCTCAGCAGGACAAAGTCTGGCTGGCGTTTCCAAACATCATACCCACCTTTCCGAGTGACCTTCCCAGCCGCTCTGTGCGGCGGCAGCCTTGGATTGAGTGCATTGGGTCAAGCAACCGCGAGCGCCCGCCAAGCGGTTGACCGCCAGGCCAACTTCACAACTTTGTCCAACGGCCTGTTGCGTTGTGCGCGGCCCAGTCCCCTGTGCGTGGCGACCAAGCTGCTGCTGGATCAGGCGGTGTTCAGCCCGACGATGTGCGCTGCGTACTACACGGCCATGAAGACCCTGGAGGGCGCTCCGTGGGAGGCGCCCGCCGCGCTGAGGCAGAACCTCATGCCCACGGTCACGGCCGCGTGGGCGTTCTGGGTGCCCGCGCAGACCGTCAACTTCAGGCTGGTAACACCGGAGAACAGAGTCCTGGTCTCTTTGGGACTATCGGTGAGTAGCCCCTATCCTCCTCCTCCTCCTCCTCCTCCTCGTCCTCCTCCTCCTGTGCGCGCTCCGCCCTCAAGTGAGCACCCGTTATGTTCAGTTGCGTGGAGCAACTTCTCGGCCGCCCTGTCCCTAGCATGGTCAGCGCACTCTGTGCATTGAGTGCTTTGCACGCAAAGTTTTGGACCCACATTAAGGCGTGAACAGTCGTGGGTTTGACTGGGGCAAGTGAGTTTCGGGCCCAATCTGCCGATGACGTTGCATCCAAACTATGGCGGTCCGGGGTCTAAATAAGTTTGTCGGGGTAAATACGCGTGTGGGATTGGCGGCTTGCCGCTGGGCACGGCCTTGAAGGAATGTGTTGCTGCCCACAGGTCCTTTGGAACGCCCTGCTCTCGACGATAGCCACGGCGAACGAGCGGCCGCTGGCGGACTCACTGGGCCACATCAAGACGGCCACGGCCGCCGGGAGGACCACCAACGCGCTCATGGCTCGCACGGCATCGTTCGCGGCAGCCTGAACCCCTCTGGGAATGTGCAGGGCAGCCCATGGCGGCTTTGGGCAACTTGGACGGTGTAGTTCGGTGGTGCATTGACTGATGGTAGCTTTGCGGTGTGCGTGTGCCCGACCGGGGGCAGGCATGAGGGGCTGGGGTCGTCATGCTTGATTCAAAATGGCCCGCCTCGTGCTCAACGGCGGCCGTTGTGCTTGGTTTTGCTCGATTCAGTGGCCGCGAGCGTCGCCATTTTCGGCCGCGCATAGTTATGGCAGGTCGCTGTTTACCCCGAGCGGGCAGCGAACGGACAGGGAGCTTCGAGCGGGGCTTGTGGCAATGGGTGGAACTGTGCTGGCGGCCACACGGCGGCAATGGCCGGGCACATGGGGCCCTAGAATTTGGGACAGATGGAGTGCGTAGTGTAAATTATGAAGCGGTCACAAGTATATATTGGAGAATGCGTTCGCCATCATCTCAGCTCCCGGCGGCAGATTTTCTGAGGTACTTGTCAGGGACCCCACAAAATTTTGAGAGGAACGTTTTATGTAGATTAGATTGAAATTCAATTGCTTATTTGCTTATTTTATTTTTCATCAAACAGCGGCTCTTCCGCCTTTTTGGGATTCGGTTAATTAAGCGGTAGGGGATTCCGACACTGACCTGGAATCTGTTGGCGGGAGAATGTCGGTTATGGCGACCTGACTTTGCGAGCTTGCACCAGGATAGCAAGGTCTCAAAATTTTGCTGTGGGCCATGATACATGTCCGAATATCAGCGATTTTCCTGCGCATGTATTGGAGACTTGGAAAACTCATGACAGGCTGCAATGTATTTCCGTGCATTCTGGTGGACGTGAAGATGTGTGGTTGATCGTTCTGCCTTGCACAACTTGTAATATTTATAGCCATTTCTGACATTGCCGTTTTCAGCTTCGACAAGTTGACATGCGGCAATTCTTCGTGCCTTACGTTATGGCGCATGTGCCCTGTATTCGATAGCGTATATGGCCGTATTCGATGCAATGAGACAGTGCGTTCCCAAGTGTACTGTCGGTTGCGCAACTGATGGGGGCGTGCCTGTCTCATCAGTTTCATTGCCAATTGTGCAATCCTCAGTGAGGATTCCTCACGCTGCAGGATGCCTTGAACATGGTTGCTTAATTTTGCTTGGGATGCAGTACGTTGCACTAACCACTGTGAAGCGCGCAGTTTCTGTCAGTGTAGAAAGCATTTACACAAGGGTGGTTTCGGCTATCACAGTCAGACTGAACAACAATAAGCGCCCTTATTTGCTGAAAATCAGCATCCGCTCAGATCGCTTTCAATGGCGCGATCCCTTTGAGGGTAAGATACGGCGAATCCATTGCAGATGGGATTGTCACATTGGGTACACACAATATGTGAGGCGCATGGTTGAAGATTCACAACAATCCAAGATTATTTGTTGCACTCTTCTTCAATCTTTTGTTAGATTTTCTGAACAAGCCTATTCGCATGGTAAACGGCACTTCCAATATTTCCTTAGCTTTGTGTCATGAATATATAACAAATTATCATGTTCCTTCCCTTATTAATCAACACAAACAAACGAAGTTAGGATGATCATGAATAATCACATAAATGTTCAGGGATTGGCGCACACAACATCTCATCTCAACAGTTGAATTTCCATTTGTTATTCCTGCTACCTGTACTAGTGCAATTGCTGACGACATGTGAGTCTGTCTCCAATGGGATTCTTCAACATATCATGGCAGTCCTGATGCAAGGCTTTGATGCCTACTCTACACTAAATACAAGATGTGTTTCACAAACCCACAACGCAGTATCATATGCAGGAATGAATCATTCTACATAGCATTCAAAAATGGATAAAGTGTTCAAGGAAAAGTCAGCTGGTGTGAATGGTTTTCAAATTTCAGCACACAAGGCAATCCATAGGGGTATGGCTCACCTATTGTCTGGAGGCATTGCATTTTGTTGTCAGCTCCCTTTCGCCGTGGCGGCAACCACATTCCAGAACTGTGTGGCGAATGCAACAGGCACACCACGGTGCCTAGGAAATGCCCAATTCTCCAGATTCTGCATATCATTGCAACTGCAGAAAAATCCAAGCTGATCTCTTGCAGGTGCAGGACCCTTATCATAGGACAGCTGCCACCTCTGCCGTCTGGAAAGCGTATTACTTTACGGTGTCTCTAGATTCCTGATCCTCTAGGTGCTCAAGAGAGTCACATAATCTGATATTTCCGTCAAGCTGTGGCGATTGTGCAGAATCCGAACTTCCGATTGTTCCCAAGGGCCAAGGGGTGTTTGAAATTATGTCAAGCACCCAAAGTGAGAGAAGCTCAGAGCTGTCATGCTCATCAATTCCCCAAATCTAGGAGGCAGTTTCTCCAATCCGCCACTCGCTCAATTCCAGCACCATCAAGTTTCTTAGGCCTTGTGTTTGAGTCATGCCGAATGCAGAATCCCAAAATGCCGTAGCACGGAAATTGCCAGATTTTGCCATTCCAGAAGGCAATTTGGAAAGTGGTTGGCACCCCTGCATCCGCTCAATCCACCCTGGGTCACCATATGTGTCAGTTGAGAACGGGCTTTCCAGCCCAAATCTGTACTACAGATTTTAGTAATATCCTGACTTGCTCTGTAACAAGTAGGCCATTTTTTAAATACATTTATGTTTTAAAGAGACGAAACTGAGAGTATTGCACACAGACGCCCTGAATCAGGGATGTGAACATTTTAATACTGCATGTATTGTTCAACAAAGGTTTTAGGGCACGCTCCCGACATCCCCAATCAGCACGCCACAAATTGCAAAGGGCTCACCCGCGGAAGATTCATCGTACAATCATTTTGGGCACACTGAAATTAAGGCTGCAATCGCCAGCTACTCAATGTTGGGTCTTCAATGTTAAAAACCGTGCCCATTCTCCTCCACAGCATGGACTTTCATCGACGATCAATGCCCCTGCCACTCTACACCTCTATTTGCAAATCATTGGGTGTGGATCTCGCTTCAATCAACTATCTTTTCCCATTTCAAATGAGCCTCTTCACTACAATTCGTCCATCGCTCTCGCCATGCAACCGCTTACAATTTCCCATTCTATCCCTCACTCGATTGTCATTGGAGATTTCGACATTCATGTCTTGTACGCCATGCTCTGAGGTGCGTGTGTGACTGGGCAGGCGTCGAACCGTAACACCCAAGTATCCCAGTCGTGCTTCCTGGCAGCGACTGAGACGTCTCCATGGGACTGAGTCCTCTCGTGAGTGGGAATGGGGTATCCCGTCACGGCGCACATCTCCGACTTGGCCTGAGGGGCGTACATTCAGGCCGAGAGGAATGAGCTAGGAAATATTGTGGATGCTGCTGCGAACTTCATTCAAAAGTGACACCATACTCGCTAAAGAGAATTTTTCTCCAAAAGATCGACCAACAAAAAATATTCAATCAATCAGTTAATCATTTTTGGGCCCTGGGAAGTTTTCCTCCTGTGCAATGTGCATCCCCGTGATGCAAACAATCCCGTGCAATGGCAGCTGCCAAAGTACTGTGGATCACATTTTTGATTGAAAATGAGTTCAAGACTCGGTGCTCACCTTTTTTGATGCGCTCCGTACTTTGTGGTGCTCAGTACTTTGGCTATATACGCGCATCTCGAAAATGCGATTGAAAAGGCCACTTTTGAGATCACGAGACTCGATTCAGCTTGAAACGCGGGCTTCTGCTATGCTACTATAATAGTATATATCCAGAGATGATTGGTTGGTTAAACTCGTGCTTTAGCTTCGCTACGTTTTGAATTATTTCCAGACAGATGTAGTTAAGACGGTATGAATGACTTGGGCAGAATCTGATCAAAAAACGGATCATTTTGCGCCATTCGGAGGTTGCGTTCTGGCAACAGTATACTTGGCTCAGTTGTTTGGGAGGCCAGTAACTAGGATAAGTTTGGGGCGGCAAATACAATTGTAAGGGTCCCGGAGTGCTTTGCTGAATTGCAAATAGCAGCCGCTGCCATGTTTCTCACCAGAAATGGATGGAATAAGAAATTCGTGGAACAGGTCGGAGAAGACATTGATATGTTGTTTGATTGGCTAGGTATCGCGCTTCGAAGCTCAGTTCTTCCGCCTTCTGTAATAATCCTTACATAAGTCATTAGTAACACCATTTGGTCGTTTTGGTTTCAAATAAAAAGCGGAAACAGCGCAGTGCATTCAAAACGCCACATAAAGTTGTGCTGTTATATGGTCGGAGTACTAAACTTGCTTAAAACAGCGTATTGAATTTATAACACAAAGGTATACATCAATAGTTAGAATGGTGAACCAGACATTCTACTTTCAAATGCTGAACGTTTTCAGTCAAATCTGAAGTCCGTGGAACGCCGTATCTGTGCACAGGGGCCACTTTCCTGTTGCGAACGTTTTCCAACATCCAGACACTATACTTTCTTTACATGAAAGATAGGTGAAAGCTCCTGCGCCTGTCCCCTCTAAACACGAAATCGAACATTCGCTCCCTAAAGATGTGCTCTACACTCAACAGTACTTATCGTTATTTCTGTGATGGAAGGGACGTTCACACCCCCAGCGGAAACGTGGCGCAAAAGTATGTACACGTGTTTCCGAGGTCTCACGAACCTTGCAGTTGTGGCAGGTCAGATTCGCCTCATAGGTGTCCGATCCACACTGGCTGCACACTCTGGCTGACAACGACTGCTCGACCTTCTGATCCATGGACACGGCCAGCACCCAGTCTCTGACCTCCTCGCGCCTCTCTTCCGTGACGTACTCCCGCTCAGGTAGGCCGAAATCGTACCTGGAACGCCAGGTTAGCCAATTCAGGTCCCCTCCAAAATTCTGGCAGCTCGACTGGTGTGATGCAGCCTGCGTAATGTGCTAGATCTGCTTGAGTTCGCTTCTGTTATTGATGCAGGTCCTGTTTGTTGAATCCACTTGATTGCCAAAACGCGAGCAGCACAGGATTTGGGTGAATCGATGCAAAACTCAAATGACCGCAAACAAGGTTTCAAGCACATGCTTAAAATCCGACGTTTTTTCCATCCAACAATGCAAGTAACGGATAAAAGCGGACTTTTAGAAGCAACGTCGTTCAAGAAAATCCAAAATTGGCTCCGAGTTTCCAATTTTTATTGTCACACTTTGTATTTGTATTTCATGTGAGCAAATGAAACGTAATATTCCATTTTTACCTTTGAAGAAGCCGACGCATGGAGATAATATCTTGTTCTCAAACGCCAATTCACAAGAAATAGTGAAAATCGACAACAATGGATGTTCAAGTAAGATTGCCCATTTCGGCGACTTACGGTATATCAGTGTCCACGAAATCCGCATTTTCGATCATGCCGCCCCCATCCCCTTGTTCCATGGCCTCGGAGAGATCCAAATACCGATTCAAGAAAACAAAGGCCATGTTTAAGCGTCCGGCTTCCTTCCACAGAGTCCCCGCCTCGTAAAAAGCCTTTAAACAGCAGAAGCTTGTGAGAAAGAGTTCAAATTAAAAAGCTTTAATGCAAAGACCCGTACAGGAAGTGCAGTGCTCAGTTGTGTCGCAGTAAATAGCCACTGATGCACAAGTTTTGAAAAACCATGGCACAAATACCCACGTAACATAATCATGATGATAGCTTTCTACCAGTGAAATTGGTCAAATGTAAGCCAAGCTGCCACAGGTTGCATTTTGAAGGGTGACGGGGATTCTGTTACAAAAGGAAATTCAGATCTCTCTCGGTGCGTGCGGTCGGCCATCACATTTCTATGGGGGCACATGCACATAACGCGCATTGCCTGCCTCTGCCAAATTGCCAACCAACTTGGCGGCGCAACGGCTTTCAAAAACAGTACCAGATACTAAATCACGTGCTCGCTTGCTCCAAAGTTTTCCAGCAGTAAAATATTAACCAATATTTAGCAATTAATCATATATTTAGTTATCCATGCTCGCGTCATTCATTTTTTTATCGCTTCATCTTTATGCATGACAAATCGCCGCTCCTGCGCGTGTTAGAGATGTCGCGATTGGATCCGTGTGCAACGCAAAAATTTGCTGCGGAATTCATAAATAGTCACACATTCTCCATTGGCGTGCTACGTTGCATTGCCGAAAACATTTGCTGGGCATGGATACATCACGAGGGCGCTGATTTCCAAACTCTGGAGACGAGGATACCATCTCCCCGAGTTTCAAAGTTTCTAATTACCTAAACATCTGTCTTGAAGGCACCCTTTTTGCATCCGTGATCTAATGCAACCATGTGCCTCATCCCATGTCCGCACCACTCGAAGTGGTGGGAACTCATTGAAGGGGAATCTAGACACTCATTTACATTCGGATAAATGGTCCACACGGCAGCTAATATAGAATTTCGATGAGGAATTTCCTTACCGAATTATAATAGAATGTATTCAGAAGTTTCTTCTGGAAAAGTCGGCTCAAGCAGGTGCAGTAAAGCACTGGGCCTTACACCAAGTTATTCCCCAATGTCGGTTGAAACTAGATCGCCACCTTGTCCGCCGGCACGACGTCTATGTATCTCAGCAGCGAGGTGGCCTGCTTCGCCGCCATCTCCTCCCATCCCTCCTCGATCGAGACGTTCACCATGGAGAGGTAGTGCGCCGCCCAGGACAGGCGCGTCAACTCCGCCTCCGCAGCCGTCGAGGCGCTCCCGGAATTCCTGACCTCTTCCAGCAACCTGGCAAAATTTTATGACTTTGGCATATGGTGATGGAAGAGGCACCCAAAGCGCTCTGAATGCACCTGTACTCATTTCTATTGGTCGCAACCATGCTTGGTATTTACGTTTACGTGTGCTTTTTGCGTTTGCATTTTCATGCGCAAAAACGTAAATTTGCAAAAGGATGCATTTGTGGCTGTGCTTACGCATCTTGCGGCTCGTCGGGACACCCAGGTTACTGATGAAGTCCCGAACAACGATCAGTCTTCCGCCTCCTCGAGCACCCATAACACAGCGTCAACCTTGCCCTCGGCTGGGGCAAAGACGCGGTCGAACAAAAGGTCGTTTAATGCCCACTCCAGCTCGTCTAGCTGCCTCTCCCAGGACTCCTGATTCCGCAAGTACTGTCTTCGCTTTCATCCGCGGAAATTATCTTTTGCATCTCATGATGCATGGCCTTTTAGCTTCAACCCATAGCTCCATTCAACATGCTATTTTAATAACTTGGCAGAATTTCTGTGTATGCTCTTTACCAGGCCTATAATGCCGCAAGCATGCCGATAGCACCCCAAAATGTGACAATGCGAATACGAATTTAGAGGAAAACGAGAGGAAATAGAAACCACTGAGCTGTTTCACTTCCAATTATTTGTGAACAGACGTGTTCCGCGGAACATATAATGCGAAATTGTGTTAATATGAAAATATAATTTTTCTCTCGCCCGTTTGGATTGCATTGACACACACAGAGATCACGCCCGCTGAATGCTGCCCCATAAATCCCAAGTTGCGGTAAAAATTAACGCAGAAATAGCTAACTAGTCCTCAACAAAATTCACGATGCATGCGCGGTTATTCCATCGCATGACATGCAGAAATGCTGTCAATGAATCCCTATGGCGCGGTGCCGTGAAACGTCTGAAGGCGGCAACTAATTCCCTTGCCTGACAGCTCTTCAATTATAGAATTGAAAAAATAAATCTAAATAACCCTTAATTGAATACTTGTAAGCCGCCATCACCAATCGATCCTTTGCTGCTGAGCAAATGATAAGCATTTACCCGGCCTACCTGCGCATCACCAACGCAATGCCTCTTTCACCCACATCCGACCGTTGCGCCTGGGGCAGCTCCAGGACTTGCCTGGCGATGTGGCAGTACAGATCCAGATTGGAAGGATCCGCATCGGTGCCCCGCGTGGCCAGGATGGACGCGGCCTCGCAGAATTCTCCCTGCCTTACTTTAAGTCGCGCGTGCCGTGCAGCGCACTTGGCGGAAACTCCCGGCCCCTGGGCTTCTGCCAGGGCGTAAACCTTGTCCCATTCCCCCTGCTGAGCATACATTTCCAAGGCCTGCAGGCAAAAATGTTTCATCTAAATTATTTAAAGCTTCGCTCATTAACACTGCGCTGTGGCAAGATTGCCCCATCCCAGAATTGCCTCTGGAAGTATTCGTTCCTCGAAATACACCATACGGATTGATGAATTGCAGAATGCAGTGCATTTTCGAGGGTCAGCCACGGTGAGAGCGACTACGCGCCCTAGATGCTCGTCAGGCTCACGTGGCAAAACTCAAATTTCGTAAGGAATCTTGATAGCCGCTTATATCCCTAAAAAATATTGCGCGGCTCTCAGAGAACGCTCTGAGTGCGTCAAAAAAGAGCGCTCTTCTTTTCTCAATACATTACATCTACTGTTATGGCTGTGAAGTCTCTACACAACCACCGCGGCATGAAATCAGATCGTCTCAACAAGTCACAAGTGCAACTTTGCAGAAATTCACGTTATTTGTACAGGTGTTCTCCCATCTCTGTAAGTGATTTTAGGGATTCCGGGTCACTAATTGAGCCAATTAGACGAATGATGGAGTGCCTGTCAACATGGCGCAGACAATTGAGTTAACTAACATTGTTTAAATTTCGAAACATTAATATATGTTATGTAAATCTGACAAGCAGAGAAACAAACTGAGTTAATTAATATTGTTTCAATTTCGAAACATTAGCAGATGTTATATAAAAATGACAAGCAGAGAAACAAATAAGGAGCTGAGGCGTGAATGCACAGGTGCAAAACTCAGCATTGCTTTTAGCCTGAATGAACGATGGACAACGAACATGACCAGCCTCCCGGAATGTCTGCAGGAAAAAAAATCGGAACAGAAACAAAGCTCAAGGCTGGCCGAAGATTGAATGAACTAAAAAATCTACGCAAAAAATTACGAGAGCTGTTAGGGATTGCAGGTCAGAACTGGCGTTGCTTCCAAGCCGGCCATGTCGTACTACCAAGACGCTTTGTGTTCCACCTGCGCGGCCTGTCCCCGTGACGCAAGCGCGTCAGCGTTCCTGTTGGACACAAGGTGCTGGTTGTACCGCTCTTCCACAAAGGCCCTGAGACCGGCGTTTCCCCCCGCCACCGCCCGCGCCTTTTCGAAATTCCCGCCCAGGCAATACGCCTTCGCGGCGCCCTGGACGTCGTCGATGCCTTCATGGAGCTCGGCCGCCGCCTCGTACCTGCGTCGATCGGGGTGAGGACAGGGATGCAATGAGCGTTTCTGGCGGAAACTGCACAAAATGGCCAAATAATACCTGCTCAAGAGTGTGCAAAGTTATGGACTTGGTTGATTTCCAAAAGGCAAACAGAGGAGCTCCCCCACGGTGCTCGAAAAAGTATTATTTGGTCCTTCTTGGGCTAGTGAATGTAGCGTAAGGATGCCTGAGGGTGTATAAGGATGTCATTGCAATGCTTGTGTGCTCGCTCGGCCAATGTTGATCTGATGGTCGTGTGTCTGAGCTATTCAATACGCTGGGGAGGGCCAGATCGCACACTCTCAACCTGGATTTATATTGGTTGAAGTGTGCAATTTTCGTGACATCGATTCTATATTTTCAAATCGGAGGATCAGTCCGTACGCAGGCTGTTAGCTCAGCAGCATCCAGCCTGAGGACGGCTGTTTGGCCTCCATCAGGGACAGTACTGTTGCTCGCACCTTCCAATGCGCATGAGATTATGAGATACGGTGTCCACGACATGATGGAGCCGGTTCCTCTGGTGGGTCATGGCGACATTCACCGCGTTCTCCCACAGCTGCAAATCAAAACGACGTCCTTCCAGCTCAGAAAGGCTGTCAGTGCGCCAAGTTATGCTGCAACTTCATTAGAACATTCAGTGAGCAAGCCAAAAAGAGCTAGCGCCATAAGCGAACTTAACGCGCTTTCAGGAAAGATTGCCACAAGCAAGTACTGTAAAATACTGAACCAAACCAACTTTTCTACAAAACAGGGTTGTTTGCGCTAGGAGTCTCAAAAAGGGATATCAGCTGTGAGTGTTCGTGGCCATGAGGTTTCAATGCGTTTGCCTGAGCCTTCTTACAACGTTGGTACTTCGAGCATTGTTGATTTACAAAACTTACAGGTGCTGGCGATCAATAGCGATTCACAGATGTGCAAAGATGCCCTCACATTGTCGCTACAAACAAAAGGAAATATTTCTGGAAGTTCTTTCTGGCGCTTTTGAATCTTCTCAGACGCTTGATCAACAACCGAGTTTGAGCAACGCCAGGCACCACTCCAGCCCAATATGTTCCACCAGATCCGAAACAAAATCAGAGGTAACTCAAGGCCCCCGCTTTGGCCCTCTGCGCTCAATATGCCACAAAGATCCGATAATCTCCATTTTCGGACACGAACTCGTAAGGTGAGCATGTGCATTGAAAGTATGAAGTAGCAGGTCGTGAAGGTCATGAAGGTCATTCCAGGATCACTGTGTTCAAAAATATATGTTAGGTTTTTGGGCCCTCAGGAACATTCATGACTTTCATCAACCCTTCGCGGCCCCTCCGCGGCCTTCGTATTCGGTTTTGATAAGTATCGAACAATCTTCCGATATTCGAACGCGGGTGCAAAAATGCGATCAACGGCATTTCAGCCCCAGCCCAAGCGCAATTTGCTCCTTCCTTGGGGCAAACTGCTTTGCAGGCCTATAAGCCGCCAATGACATGAACAGCCTGAAATGGAAAAAGGCAAAAAAGAAAAAAAAAGCAAAAAAAGCAAGAGAATAAGATGCAGTGCTCATGAGATCTGTGAGCACCCAATTCCAAAGGAACGAAGATGTGACATAGCGTTCGACGATTGCGCGGCTCCAATGCAAATGCCCACCCCCTGTGGCCAAACGGAAATAAAACGCACCGGCACTGATGAATTCCTGCTCGGCCTCTTTGAACCGCCCCTCGTCCTCCAGGTACATCGCGTACTTCAGGTGCACATCGGGAAGCTTGCCGCTGCCGCAAGACCTGGCAAGTTGGAAAGCGTGGGCGAACGCGCCAGATTCGACGGCGTAGTCGATTGCCTGGTCTATGAGTCCCAGCGCCTTCAGCAGCTGGGCGCCCTCATCGCCGCCCAAGCTTACAGCCCAAGCGTATGCCACCTGCGAATAGACAATCGTACGGGTTGCATGTTGTACAGTAATAGCGCCTGGTTGACGTATAGTAGTTTCATTGTGCTGATAAAAAAACATACTCGTTTGCAACAGTTTGGTGCCGTGTAGTCTGAAAAATGTGAATATAGCTTGGGCAGCCAGAATGATACATTCCGTCAACAATGCTGGGCTACAGAGATCATGGGTTCATGTCCAAAATGGATTTGACGTGGTTTCCTAACGTACCTACATCCGAATGTCCGGGCGCATCAAATTATGTGTTTGTTCGATATTATTGTCGAGAAGGAAACGCAACAAATGGGTAAAACTAACCAGTTGTAAATTCTGGACAAACGAACTCACAAGAAAAGCTTGACACGAGCCCACGCATTGAGAGGCTGCGATTCACAGAGCTCGAGAGGTCTGTAGCAAGACCGTAATGTGAGCCTATCTAAGTTAGGTTGTATGCTTGGATAACCTGGAAGCATTTTAAAGAAATAATCGCCAATAAATCGCCGCCGCATAGTTTAGATTCGAAAACACAGGCCATTTCATGTGCATTGCTGTAAGGTGCGTATCTGAAGCCCACCAGGTGATCCAATACAACGGCGCAAGTTTTGTGCATGTGCCGTGCTTTTGTCATGCAAAAATCCTCCTGCACATATTTGGCTATGGTGTTGGCGAAGAAACAAAGCGGGAAAAGGGCTGATGGTATTGGGAGTCGGACCTATACATGCACATCGCGCGTTCAACAGATTGAGATGCGTACTTCCGAAGGTGCTCTTTGAATTGATGAAGGAAAAATAAATTGGGAATGAGTAAACAAGGGTGGCAAATTATGAGCATAGCATTGCGGAACACAGCGGCTGTTTCACAGTCTATGCATTCAGTGACAACACACCCGTGATTACAGTGTCCCAATGTTATCATGTAGCAAAGCTGCAAAAGTAACCTCTCAGTTCAAGAGTTTTCACCCCTCCGCAATGCCCCACATATACTTTCTGATTCATTTCCTCTCGTTGCGGCAGTAAGCATAACTCCAATGCAAAATCAGGTATACATGATGCACGTCGTCCCACATTGACAGTATGTCGACCCACACATGGCAAGGTTGAATCACATCTTGCTTTTTGTGAGCAAAGCACCTTCAGAAACCACTGCGACATTAGCGGGAACAAGAATTTCCGTGCATTTCCGTTTCGCTCTGGTAAAAAGGGCCAAATTCGCAGTTTCGAAAATCTCGTACCATGCAACACGATTGAGATCGAGTAAAAATCGTCTTAAATCGTTTGTTCGTTGTATAAGTATGGTACCAAAACATGTAGTAACGCTTGAGTGAGTGCACCTGATTTTTGCACGTCTTGGCACGGCTTTGCTCGAATTTCACACGATTCGCAACCGTCCATTTTGGGCGATACTCTACTTGCGATACTCTACCTGCTTGGACGCGTTCACGCCGCCGTAGGTCTTGGCCACCCTCAGCGCCTCCTCCCACATGTTCGCGGAACGGTACATGTGCACCGCGCCCTTCCAGTCGCCGCCTTCCGCGTAGTGCCGCTCCGCCTCCTTCAGGCTGCCATCGGACTCGAGCTGCTGCGCCAGGTGGCCGTGCGTCTCCGCCAGCAGGTCCTTGCGGTGCAGGGACACCAGGCGGATCATGTGGTCGTACAGCAGCGCTTTCTTGTACATGTTGATGGCCAGGTCAGGCTCGCTGATGGTGAGGTACATCCGCTCCGCTTCCTTGAACTTGGAGGCGGCCTCCATCTCGCGCGCCCGCCTGGTGTAAAGGGACTGGGGCAGAGCGGCGGGCGAAAGAGTCACCGGTTGTTGTGGGCGACACAGCCGTGCATTTGGCCGCAAAGCCTTTTCGACCGCAGGTTTGAAATTCCGGCATTACTTGACCCGGCTCATCGTGAGTTGAATTGCCAACACATTCCCGCATTGATTTGTCGACTTTGCGAATTGTGCCAATGTTCAAATAATTATTCATCAATTTACGAATTACTATTGCCATTTGCTGCTGGTGACTGCTCTCAGCGAGAGGTTACATGACAGTAGATGGAGTCCTCGTAAACGGGTTAGCGTTAACACGAGGGCGACAATGTTTGGAAAACAGAGGCGTATACGGCAGTGGGAAGCTTCTATCTGCTGGGGACTTTGGTATGATTCTCGGTGCCCATCGCAGAAAATTGAGAGTGCTCTCAAGTTATTTGGCTATCTAGCATTTTGGCTACATCCCCTGAAGTTGCTTGCATGTTCAATTGTTTCCATGTTTGACAAAGGGAGTGGTTGTCAGGCCATTCACCGCACGCAATCGAACAGAACACATGGCGCTCGGACTCCCTCTCTGAAAGAAATCAGTTTGTCAAAAATCAGAGAGCAATGCACACAGTAATTGGAGTGCCTCAGGAAAATAGCTCAGAAGGCTTTCGGAGGTGGATAATTCGGCGGAGAAGGTAGGGGCGCTTGTTTGAGTGCCACTCTCACATGGAAGAAAGGGCCAAATAACATGTGTTCAAAGGTGTACAAAACTTACAGGTTTGGGTTATTTTCGTGTTTTTAGCGTGAGTAACACTGATTAAATGCATACATATGTGTTCGCAAAAGTTGCTATTTGGTCCTTTGTATGCTAGTGTCTGGAGTTCCAACCTCCGGCGAATTGCAAAGCTCTAGCGTTTCCGACGTCGGAGGTGGAGGCGCCTGTGCCACCAATGCAGATATTATAGATACTAATACAATGCATCGATATACTAAATAGTTCTAAGTAGTTATTGCCGATGCCTCCCAAATGAGTTTTCCTGCCTATGCGCCGACGGTACTGATGGCATCCTCCCGCACTGCCGATAGTTCTTGCAGATTCCCGCCGAGGCACCCCATGGTCGCCGACGTCTGCTGGGAGGCCAAAGGCTCCCGCCAACGTTGCCAGATATTGAGCCTTAAGGCTCACAGAAGCTTCTGTGGCGGAATTACTGCAGCAACACCATGTTGCTACCGACCACTGCATTGCAGCAATGTTGCGGTAACTGTTGATCCCTGTGCGGCATCCATTAAGCACTTCTCCAATCGAAAGGAAACCGGAATCAGTGAACAGCCCATGAATCCAGAATTACTGGATTTTTTCACCCCTATCGACAAACAGAGACGGGAGCTCTTACGTGCATTTCGCCGTCTGTGAGGTACCCCATCGCGATTTTGTGTGCTTGCTCCCATTTCCCCACTCGATTGTACATCTCAACTGCCGACGACGCAGCGTCAGCCTTTATGTAGTAGCGCTCGGCCTCCTCGTAGCTCTTGGCTCTCTCGAAGTGGCTTGCAATGCGTTTGTAGTACGGACCAGCGGATGCGGAATCCTGCAATCACAGGCAATCGCCTATCAGGCGGCCAGGATTCAGGGCAGCTGAGCACACAGTGCCCGGAACACTGCGGCCGGCAGATATGGTTGTTCGACTTTTCCGCAGCGACGCGGCCATGCCAACCCACGCTGTACAGCTTCCGTCTTTTTGCATGTACGGATCGACGCTATCTACATGAATGTCTGTCCATCTGGCGAATGTTTTGAGTGTACAAATGATTAAAATCTCAGAATTGCATGGTCCAATCTTAGAATCAAGGTCCTTTAACCTGCAAGAATTTGTAGTGTCAGGCGAATTTGCGACTTTTTGTGCTGCTGGAATGAATCTTCAGTGATTGCTGAGGAGCACCGCTACAATTGACCCTAGAAATCTTCTGGTCAGGCGCCAGAATTCATCCTTGCAATTTAAGTTGAATGGCAATGCTGGCTTCAAGCAGCGGCCTGCCCCTCACTGATCCGTCTCGAATCGCCAAGGCCAAAGCACCGGCAACCGCCGCGTGCCAAACATCACTTTCAACCCATTCAACGTCCGCTCTCCACAAATGTGCGATGCCCTTAATTTACCGGCATGGAGTCATGAAGGACATGAAGGCGTGACGTCATGAAGGTGATTGAGGTCTTGAAGATCATGAGATCATGCATTCACGAAGCCACGAAAGTCGCAAGGGCATGAAGTCCATTGTTGGGTTTAGAATGTTCTAGATTTAGGGCTTTAGGTCTCTAGAACGCTTCACGATGTTCATGCCCCTCCGTGGCCTTCACGTCCGGTAATGATAGGTATTGGAAAATCCGACTTTCGCCCACGCGCGACACTTGCCAAGAACTCAATGATCCCCGCGGCCTTCGCAAACTGGCGGCACTCCAGGGCAGCCTCCACCGCCTTCACAGACTGCCCCGCCTCGATGTAGTGGTTGATGGCGGCGTCCAGCTGCTTCACGCCCATCAGCCAGTCCCCCCACTCCTCCTCCAGCACGATGACCTCCGCGGGGAACTCGTGCCTGTCCAACACAAACTGCGGGCTCGAGCAAAAGTGGGCTTGAGACCACTCCCCGACATCGCCAGTTTGGTGCAACGGCTTTGCTTTTGTCACGTGACAAATGCATAATGACGCTTAAATGCGTAAAACGAACGTATGAATGATGGAACAAATGCGTCAATGCACAAATGGTAAAACTGTGATTATGTCTCGTGCCTGGCCAGCTCCACGGCCTTGCGGTAAGCGCAGCCGCGGCAGTAGGCGTCCCGGGCCTCCTCATATCGACGCAGGTGGGCGTACAGGTCGCCCGCCTTCTCGTGGAGGCCCGCCTTGGCCAAGGCGGAGCAGATGGAGTCCAGCAAGGGAGGGTCGTAAGCCGCGTCGTGCGCCAGCACCACCTGAGTGTGCAAGGCACGGGGCTATAAGCGGCCGGTGTTGTTGCGCATTACGGGTCTGTGGCGATAGATATTGAACGCTTGAACACTGTGTTCCTTGATGCTGTGGGGGTAGGATTCTGCCAATTATTCTGAGTTTATTGTAGGCCACCAGCACAGAGGGACACTATTTTGACAATCTGACTTCAACAGAGGCGGTGCCAAGGCCAGTGAATCGAATTTCACGTTGCCTGTAGGGATTTTCATTGAGATATTGAACGCGCCATGGCAGGCGGGGAATCCTTTCGGTGCAACGACAGGCTCCTCGACGTGCATGTGTTGGTATGTGCGCATGCACGCATGTACATACAGCTTGTATAGGCACAGATACGGAAGGCCATTCAAGGGAAGAGAATGTCCAGTTTGTGAGTATGTCAATCGGTAGTGGCCCCAGAACGACCGTGTCAGCGGCGACGAGACCCGCAAACTGTTCGTGCACTCGACTCGATGATCTGGAGAGCCGGAGCTTTGCTTTCCGCATGTTAAAAGATTGCGATGGCGGCAGTTGCATGAGCCGAAAGCATGTGGTCGCCTTTTGCTGGTCGCCGCCATCGCCCCAAGCCAGCCATATCATTCAACCTTCAATATCTGGCCAAAAGCATTAAATACTCATTTTTTCAATGCTCAGAGGCTGCCAAGGCAATTGTTTTTGATGCTTGACTAGTTTGTGATTTTCATCAGTCGAAGAACTATCCAAAAATTGCAACATCATGCACCGATGCCGAAAACACGAATCTTATGACAACACATGTTAGTTGGGCGATAACTGAACAAACATCAGACATGAACCACCGTTTAGTGATTGCGTTCGTTGCGCAATTCGAGGTAACTTCAGCCACGTTTTGCGCTACCCATCCCCCAGCGCACTCAAGCTTCCTTACAAAACCGCGAAACACAGCCATCGCAAAACGCCGCAGACACCCCACCGCCCGCTCGGACCCTCCCTGTTCCACCACTGCGGCTGGCGCCACCACATCTGTGCTCGCGGAAAAACGCTGTGACTTGGAGCACAGCATGTGTGTGGGAACATCTCCCGACATCGCCAATTTATGGATCAAGGGCTTTGCATTGTCTTCTGGCAATTGCAGCGGATTCGCACACACACCTCTGCAGCGCCTTAGCATGAGGGACATTCTGCTTGAGTACCTGGACGTGAGGCGACGCGTGATATCGCCTCGTTGTGGCACCACGATGGGAAAGGCGAACGTTGCAATAGGTTTGATATATCATTCAAGGATGGATTCGCATTCTCACGCACCTCTGCGGCTCTGGCGGGCAGGCACCCCTTCAGGTACAGGCTGATGGCCGTCAGGTAGTCGCCCTCAGCCTCCCTAACCCCGGCCGCCTCCGCTTCTTGCCCGCTGTCCAGCAACCACTGGTAGTAGCTCCTCTTCAGGCTGTCGGTCTCCTCGTGGTGGTGGCACTCCGCCACCCGGATGGCGTCCTCCCAACGGTGCGCCTCCGTGTACATGGCCACGGCCGCGTCCACGCCGCCCTGGGTGAGCAGGAAGCGCTCCGCCTGGGCCCACTGGCCCCCCAAGACGGCCAGCATGGACTGCACCTGGTAGGACTCCAGGCCGTTGGCGCCGGTGCTTCTCGAGACGGCGTCCGCGCAGGCACGCACCTGGAGGGACGTCGGGCGCGGATTGAATGGTTGATGTTTGCTGATGTTTGATGCTGTTGCGTTGACGTTTTGTGATGTGCCAATGTGTCGATGGGCTGACGTTTGCTTGAATTCATGAATGAACGGGTGAGGGGCGGAGAAGCCATGTATGATAGGCAAGGGCTCGCCACCGCTGGCAAGCGCAAGGGTGGCGTTTTGTCTGTGGGTTTCAAAAATGAGCCAAGGAATTTAGTGGGGGGCGGGTGGAAACTGGTTGCAAAAACGGAAACCAAATTGAGAGATCGGCACCGGATGGCTATTCGGAATACTCGGGTGCTTTACCAGCATGGCGCTTTGCGCACACATAATTGTAATCATCGTGATCCATCGACGTCAATCGGCATCACGTTTGACGGCTTCAGCAGTTCGGTGCGACTGAGCCACTTCCAGAATCGTGTTTTCGAGTCTCCATTCTTTCAGATTCCCTGCTGGCGACGCGTCCTGAAATCCGACGCTCACACCAGTCGACATCGCGTTGAGTCAAACATGCTCGTACACTGTATACCAAGTGTATCCTTTCCCTCTTCACGCCACACGACATACATTTCAGATAGTAGTCTAGCATTCCGAATGTAATGCATTCAAATACATATACCATGCCATGATGTACACTATATAATGTATACTACACTATATAGTGTAGTATATATACTACACTTGCCACACTTTACTCTATGCATGCGTACATGTACTGTCGTTGCCCCGTGTATACGCGCGAGCTGGGTGAACCGCGTCGCCCCTCACCTTCCTGAGGTACCTGGCCTTGGCGATATTGCCTATGGCCGTGTAGCACCGCCGGGTGTGGTCGATCTCCCCCTTGGCCAGCGCCACCTCCGCCAGCTGCTGCCACTGCGCCTCCGTCTCCGTCGTCAGCTCTAGCGGTTCAAGGATCTCGATGCCCCTCTGGAAGTCGCAGTCCTCGAGGGCGGAGCCAAAGTCGATGAGGGCCTCGTCCAGGGCGTAGCTGATGGTGTTGATACCCTCATCCACGATGACCTCTGTTCTGCATGGCGCGGCGGGATCGGCGATCAGGTCTACCGGTAGCGCGGCTTTGCATTAAGCTCCCGGGGCAGTTTAGAACGCAATGCGCGCCTGGGTTGAACCTAAACCCCGCTGGGAAAGGTTGGTGTCAACACATGGCTTTGAGCACAAAGAGAGTAATCTGCATCAAAGGGGTTTTTGCAGGCGCCTCCAGCAATGGCGCCTGCGGCAGGTGCATTGAGTGGCAACATCTCCGACACGCTGAAAGAAATCCATTTCAAGGTTCAACAGTTGTATCAACTTGACGATGATTTTGTCAAATATGGAGTCCAAATCATGAAGCAAAACATTGGCGGCTATGTATATGTAATGCTCTGCCTCCCACTATTTAATGTCTACATGTTGTTATCTCAACAATGTCGCCAACTCGGGGACGCCAATGACGGATTCCCATTTGGGCAATAACTGCATAAATGCCAAACAAAATCAAAGGAGATATAATCTCCACACGCCCGCTGATGATTCTTGCGCGCCACCTGTTGTTCGCTCTCTCGATGTCCTCCACTTCTCCCTGTATCGGATGCACCGTCTGCTGGTCGGGATTCTTGATGTTGTACCAGACGCACAGGTTCCCGCGGCTCTGGGCCACCACCACGTCGCTCGACGGCACCCACTGCACGTATTGGCAAAACTCCAGGAGGGTGGAGCAGTCTTGGCGGCTCACGTCGTACATGTTCAAATGGCGCTTCTTGTCTCGGAAAAGGATGTGGGAACCGCGCTGACTGAGCTCCTTCGGGGAGAAAGAACGCAGGGAGTGTGAGGCGATGGTTGCAGGCACTACCGCCGTACTGATGCAATTTTCTGGATTTCATATATGTGATTCGGATGTTTATTTGCGCTATTGTTCTTCAAATTTCATTCAATAAAGGCAATGCATGCTGACCGCACTAGTTTTCAGCCTGTGCGGTGCTCATGCGTGCAAAATGACAACCATTGTGAATCGAATGTTGCAGCTGTCAAAATGTAAGAATGCCCTGTCATCAGAGTTCCTGCAACTTCTGAACTGCCAGCCACCGGACAGCTTCCCTGTGGATTCAAATTGAATGCGAATACAATATCGATTCGGAACGGCAATGAACTTTCGCAAGGAATCCTGGTAGAAGCGAAGGGTGTCCAGAGAATAGAGAAGGCCTTGCGAAAGTGCCCCTTGCTTCCATGCGTCAGTCATCGGGACAGCTGGATGTGTTGCAGCAATCACGTAATCACATAGAATGCATCGACTGCGGCATTGGAAAGTACACAGGCAAATCATAGCTGGCAATGCCCATTCCATGTGTTCTCGAGCACTGGCATAAGTCGCCCATATCAGAATACTCCTGTCCGTGTGTGAACAATCTCGTATGGGTCAGAACATTCCCCTTGGATATCATACATTTGCAGGCAATTGCAAGCCTTGTTAGGGATCCTTCAACCATTGCTGCTTCTTCTACCAGCCGCAGCTCCGGCACAGGGGCACAGTGTCACCACAATTCACATTGCAGATGGCCATTCATCTGCATTAGACGCGAACCCTCCAGAGAACGTGTGGAGCCCAAACGCCGCAATTTCACGATCATTTTAACCATTAGCGACAGATGTCATGGCACAACATCTTCCAAGCGCAATTGCGGCAACCGCAACTAAGAAATCACAATTTAGCTCAGTTTCTGGCACTGTTTCAACTGCGGTAAATTGGTGAATGTGCATTGCTAATGAGTCAAGACCAGGAATGGACCCATCGCGTAACCTAGATCATCGCTACTTAAAAGCCACTTATGAGGAATTAATTCTCTATACATTGGTACTTTCATACCTTATATGCAGGTAGCTTAAATATATATTGGTGCGTTAAATGATAGCGGTAAAATATTAGGAAATGGCATAGACAGCTGCTGATGCTACTGTTATTATAGCTGTTACTGCTATGGCAATGTGGCCACAGTTTCTCCCCCACAAGCACCGCAAACATTCACTAAGAAAAACAGGGCCAAATGACACGTGTTCAAACGTGTGCAAAGCTTACGGGTTTGTGTTATTTTCGTGTTTTTAACGTGCGCAGCACTGATGAAGTGCACACACATATACACGTGTTTGCAAAAAGTGTTATTTGGTCCATTTTTCTGGTAGCGATTAGCATGATGACAAGAAACAAATGTGCGCATCTCTGCAGCGCGTTCACATGCGCGGCACGCCCGTGCAAAGGCCAAGGTCGCACAAATGTTCGATACCCATATCCATATCCGGATACGATTATATCGATATATGGATCGATATCCGGACATGAAGTCATGGGGGTCATTGAGGCCATTAATGTACGAATTCATGGCCTTCATAGCCAACAACGATAATATACGATAGGTACTGGATAATCCTCCAAAGTCGCGGCGGGTGCCCCCGCCAGCCCACCAGCCAATCGATCTTGGCGTCGTGGTTGACGGTCGCCAGCGCAACCCCGGCAACGAGGTCCAGCACCCGAATGGTCTGCAGGTCCACCAGGTAGGCCACGCGCTTAACGGCCGGAGCAGCCCCCCTGGCGTCTGCGACCACCGCGCTCACGAGGAAGGGGCTCATGTGCTCCGTTCGGCAACATCCCAAGATGTCGTTGCGCCCGTACTCCACCAGGGTGAGCTCGCCCGAGGCATATATCATGCACACCTGAAAAGTGGTCACAGAATCTGCAATCCCGAATGTCGATGGACCATGGACGCATCGCCGAAAACGGGAGAAGTTGGTGCAATATTGCGTGTAGAGTGCCAATGATGCAACGCAAAACAATGGTGCAGCAAGGACAGTGAATCAGCTCTGACGCGACGATCACACACACATCAGCGCTTGTAAGAATTTACGGACAAGAAATGTGATCAGGAAGAATGGCTTGGGTGACGAAGTGGGACCAGACAGTCCTGATGTCTGCTGCAGTGGTGTAGGGAGACCCGTACGTCATATTATTTATGTATTACATATCGCACATTTACGCATTACGTGGTATACAAGCACGTGTTACTAGCACTTACCTTCTCATTCTCGAAATGGAATCTGTCGCTCCCGGGAGGATGGCCCCACGGAATCTCGCTCAGTTTGCACGTGTCCAGGTCGCCCAAAAGCAGCGTGTCCGAGGTCCTGGCCACGAGGTATCGGTCCTGGTATATGTTTATTTTTTCGATCTCGTATCCATATACGGACTTCAGAACGACCCTTGTTCCTGACGCCAGTGTCTTTACGATGACCTGCGAGGTGGACAGTAGAGGACACATAAGCTACATTAAGAAAATATGACTAAGTGACTTACTTGGATCTTGCTTATAATGCGCGGTGGCTGGCGTGTCCATAAATGCCTATTATATCTTTGCCTACCCTTATCAGCGAACAATTCCGAGTCCCATGTAAAGCAGTGCGATTGAAATTCTAACGGATCGCACTGCATATAAGTGAAGAAATGAAAAATAATGCATCCACTTAAAAGTGAGATTTTCTTGCAGAAATTCAGTTGGATTCGCGCTGACCCTGTTTTCCAGCAGGGAATGTGCCACTCTCTAGTGACAGTTGCGTCCAACAAGCAATCGCAAAGTCAAAAATATCATTAATAAAGAATTCGATGTTTACATCAAATGAATGCTTTTAAAAGATGAGAAAATTTAGTTCTATGCCCATGGAAGACAGTCGGGCGCCACCTTTAGGAAAACTGCCTCAGTGCCATGCGCTTTCTTGAACGAGGTGGGGCTGGAGGCATCCCTTGGAGAAATTTGTATTGGGTCAGGCCCATTTTCAGGATTGGGCCATACCATGTGTACATGCACTATGAAGTAACATACTGGATGTGAAAGCCATATTTAGGGAAGTAATATCCTGTATGACGACTGCCCATCTACCATATAGTGCGAATTCCTGGACGTCGACAATGCAATAATGTATTTTTTTATCAATTTTGTGTCTCGATTTCCTCTGAGCCCTTTGAAATTGGTTTATAAGATCTGTACTCACCGCGCTCCTGCTGACGTATGTGAACTCAAACTTTCCCTTGTAGCGGTTCTTCCGGACACAGACATCATAGATGTCGACGCAGCCCGTCAGAGACCCCACCGCAATCTTGGAGCCGTCGGGCTTCCAAGCTACAGCTGTGATGTTGTACATATTTGGTATCTGCGGAGGAAAATCAGACCAAAATGGCCATGGACAGTTGATATCAATAAAACCCACGCAATACATAATATGTGTATATGTAAAAACATTATAATTACAATTTTTATGTAGTACTGTTCCTTTCCTTCAATGTTTTTCAGGTTTTCTGCGACTCGAAAATCAGCAGTTCAATACATATCCTTTCAGCACTTAGCTGAAGCTCGCAGTACATAGAGTCATGTGTGGATGTGAGCGAGTATGCGAGAGACTGAGCAAGGAAATGAAATTGAAGTACGCTTCTCGATACAACGCTGCAATTCGGCCTTTCTGCATTTGGCATTCCTTTCTGCACCAAGCAAGAATAACCATTGTAGGCTTTGCATCACATCAGACACAATACGGCGGTGCCGATATAACTGAATTAGGCTACATCAACCGCCCAACTCAACATGATGAACGATCTGGCAGATCTGACAGCGTGACAGTTCGCTACTTTCATGGATTCGGGGCGCTACCTCCTTGGTGCCCATCTGCTCCCACGAATCCGCCCTGGAGACGTAGCTGAAGGACATGAATTTGTTGAAGCTTCCCAACACCACAGAGTCGCCTGAGGGGTTGAACACCGCCACAGAAAGCTCCGCGCCGTTTCCAGATTCTGAGCAGTCGAATTCTTGAAGGCGCTGCCCAGAGTAGCTGTAGAAGACGACCTGCAAATGACCCGACTGCATGATACCTAAATCGAATTGTTAAGACCCCCGGATAGGGGGCAAGCAAATTGCACAAGTTTTCTCAATTGATTGTGCAATATGTGACGTTCCCTAGTGCGCGGATCGATCGTCGTTGGACTCTGAAATTTTAGCAGTCTTTGCATGATTTCTTCAGTGTTTGGCGTTCCATTTTCATTCAAGGTTGCATCTTGTCCAGTCGCCTCACTTTGTGTTAAGGAGATTGGAATGCTATGCTTAAAGAAGACAGATCAGCAGTCCGCGATAACTGCAAGTCAAGAATATTGATACAATTTGCCTAACTTCTTCACAATTCACGACGATGGCTGCACTCTTGACTCAAGACAGCATTATCCTGAAATGCACGTCTACCCTTGGCTAAATAATGCATGCGTTTGACTCTGAGACGAGTACATACCAAAAGACGTGCAATTCAGAATAATGTTTGACAGATCCGCCGCGTTGGTCAGCTCTATATTCACCGCCACGTCATCACCTCGTGTGCGCACTTGGCAGCTCTTAGAATTTAATCGAAATTACGCTTTTGTGTTACCCTCGTTCAAGTTTCAAACTTGAACATAGTGTTTTACGGCGCTCCAAGTTTCTTCCGTCTGCGCTGCCCATCGTTGCTACAGCACGCAAGACGTCAAAACGACCACAGTGGCCACAATGAAGTTGTTTTATGAGTGTTGCGCCACAGCGTGAAACGGAAATGTGGCAAATTCGGTTGGAAATGCTGGCGAGATCAAGATATGTTGGGTCGCCCAGAATATGCTGGTACATGTTCCTATATTTGCAAATGTTAGTTCGGCCCTTGAGGAAAGTTTCAGCCGGATTCTATCTCACGGTGCATCAGGCTTATTTCAACCGCCCCGCCGCATACTGCATGTACTGCCATATACTGCCTTGTACCGCAGCACACACGCTCAGGTATATAGTGCAGTCTACTGTGCAGGATAGTATACGTCAGCAGTGGGTGGCATCAGTTGTAGTGCGCTCTACTGCGCACACAGTGCTGGGCTATATTGTGCAGCATTCAGCCTTGAATGCAGCAAACTGTTGTACACTTCGCCGCTCTGCAACATATTGCGGTGCACTGAAGTATTCTGAGTTGTACTGCAGTGTTGTGCACTACACTGCAGTATTCTGCACCATACTGCTGTATGGACAGCATGGTGAACTCCGTTGCAGCTTGTGCAGCGCAGTGCTGCATATTGGATTTGGATCCCTGTGACAACGGGGCTTCGACACCTTCTTGTCACTGCCGGACGCCACGATCGCCTCTCCGCACGCCAGTGCGTTGGGTGCGCAGGCGTGCCGCGCGACCTGTGCATGTCCTGCCGGCGACCCTTCGTCCTCGGGGAACTGGAACTTCCACACGCTGCCGTCCGCGTGGCCCGCCACCACCACCTTGCCGTTGGGGCTGCCCGCCAGGGACACCACGGGGCTGCCCTCGGGGTGGGCGTACAGGCTGTACGGCTTGTTGCTCTTGAGAGAGCCCAGCTTCATCTTGCCATCCAGCTGGCCGAAGGCGATCTCGTTCTGGCGGCCGAAGGGCCACGCGAGGGCGGTGATGGGTGAGGCTTGGACGAACTTGTTGCAGATGCTCTTCTTGTCGCCCCAGTCCAGGCCCAGCCTGCCCAGGCAATGAGGACCTTATTTGTTTATTTATTTATTTATTTATCTATTTATTTATTTATTTATTTACTTGTTTATTTATTTATTTGTTTGTTTATTTATTTATTTGTTTATTTATTTATTTGTTTATTTATTTTTTATTTATTTTGCATGTGTGTTTATCTACTTATTTTGTATGTTTTCGCTGGTGCACGAAGGGCTGCCCAGGTTTGCGTGACGGACAGCCCCAGCCTGTGATCTCAGTCTACACGCCTGTGATTGCTATAAGACATGCGACCTAGCGCAGCTGTCGTGGCAGCTCAATGGGCCCCTTGCGTTCGGCCAATTCACGACAGAGAGGGTGGCAGTTGTCACGTTTGTGCACCCCAGGCCACTAGTCCGATTTGTTGCACCATTTGACAGTAAGTTTGATGCTGCGACGTTGGAAACGCTTCTGAAGATTTCCTCAGGCGATGACACTGGGGATCGCATCCAGTGACTTCCGAAATTTGATGCCAGTAGGGTTTGTGCTCCCACCATCTGTAGGGAACGGGATTCCATGCCTCATGCAAGTTCCCAGCTCACGCTTGCATCTGGGTTCAAGCCCGTCACGTGATTGCCGTGAGCATGTTGGATCATCTGGGCGCGCCAAATCTTGGCGTTCGCCCATGTTGGACGTTTTCAATGCGAGATGACTGCAGAGCGGTTGCAATGCCACCGTGCTGAGATCGCAATGCAAATGCGATGGGGTTCGAAGTGATCATTGAGTCTCCGGAGACCAGTTGCTGCTACCTGTACACAAACACGATGTTGTCGCTCTGGGCTATGGCCAGCCGCATGGAGTCGGGCGAGAAGGCCATGGCCCGCACGACATACAGCTGCGTGGAATGTGCCTCGGCGGGCTTCGTTTTGAACTTGTCTCGTTTCTCCCCCTGCTCGTCAAACAAGTGCACAACGAGCTCCATGGTTGCCACTGCCAGCTTTGCACTGCATGGAAACAGCACACAATGAAGCCGTTAACCATGCAACCAGTTTGTTCAGCCCCATCTGCGCCGGCCTGCTTGACAGTGTTGGCCGTTTGCTTTGCTTTTATTCTGATCTGGGCGAGTGCTGTCTGAGCTTGTATGTACAAAAGAACCGGCTGGTGGCAAGATTCTGCGAATTGAGTTGTTTCTTCGACCATGGGCTAAGGCCACCTTTTTTTCTCTCCGCCCAGCTCCTGGAGCAACTCTATTTGTTTGAGAGTGAAGCAGAATAACAGCACCACATTTCTCAGAATTTGCTTGATGGCATCAGCATGCAACCACAGCGACCTGTACATTCAATCTGTCCTTTTGCAGCAGTCGATCATGACAAACAAGGATTAGCTTTTAGTTGACTTTTTCAAGCACCTTGACAGCCAGGTACAGAGGAAGTACAAAACCGAAAGCCATGTTTGGATACTTGGGTATGCTTGGTGATGCAATGGCACTGCATTCCTACACTGGATGCCAAAGGCTGCTTGAACGACATTGCACGGATTGAGCCAACGAGTCCACCTTCTGGCTTGATGCCATGGATAGCTTAGCTCTCTTTCTGTGAAGAGCAGGTCACATAAGTGCAGTGGGATGTTTGTTGTGAATACTTGTTTAGGCTTGCGCAACACGCCAAAGAACTGCTCCCACCCCTCGGCTCTGGCTCAGCTCTGTGGCAGAGTCAGATCATGCGTTGGTGGTTTTTCTGCATCCGTTCAGCCCTGAGGGAAGTGGGCACTGTGAAGGCTTTGCATACAGCTCATCCAGCGTTGGTGCCAAAGAAAGCAGCACACAGTTTCTTTGTAGTGCTGGTGGGCAGACAGGTCATACCAAATTCTGCCCCTTCTTGCACGATGAAGTATGAAAACAGCTCAGAGTTGAAATGCGCATGGAACAGGCAAGCGGATTGTTAAAAACCTTGTTCTGCTGCAATTTGAGGCAAACTCAGATAGCGGGCACAAGCTGCATGTTTTCGCTGCATTACATGCCACAAACTGCAGCACATAATGGGATGCAAAATCTGCCATATCTTCCATTAAGACAGCTCAATTCTGTCTCCAGTTTCTGTCACAGCTGCAGCACTTGGCTGCCAAAATGGCCTCTCTATGTCTGAAGGGACCTTCCAAACGTTGGTGCTACAGTGCATGGCCTCAATGTCACCTCCCCCAAAAAAGCCTTTCCTTCACATCTGCACTCAACAGATCAAGCTCTTTTTCGCACCTCTGCAGAAGCAGGAGCCCCTGAAAATCACCATACTGCACCTTCCCAGGCAATCAATGCCCCAAAGGAGGCCAAAAGAAATACAATTCAGAGGAATTCCGAATCTTTAACTGTGGTGGGATGGGTTGAGGGCCGGCCCCACCAAATCAGTCGCTTCCGCCATTCGGATGCCTTTATCTGTGGTTTTGTGAACAGAGGGTGGATCGGCTGGCACTGTATGGGACTGTACTGTGTTGCATTCTGGTGGCATGCTAAGGGTTTCACACCACCCATGTTAACCTCGGGGCATTCCTTTTGCCAAGCATGACCGCTGGAAGCCCTCATGCTGTCGATGATCAGAACACTGCATGGCCCACGAGCCACCGTCAGTGCGCCATTTGTGTTGGTTGCCGTGGTACACAAGTTTAGTCCACCACGACAGCCGCCTCACAGCCAAACTCCCTCAGAAGACGCGGGCGTGCGCTGCACGACATTTTCATTCTTGTTCAGGAACAACCTTGGGCCCTGCCGCGCCGGCCCCTCGAGCTCCGCAGCCACCGCCGAGGGCCGGGGTCCAGGCGACACTCCCACCGCATCCTACCGCCCGTTTGCGTTCGGCTGGGAGCCGCGATGGGCCTCGGACCCTCGCTCGCTGCGTTGTGCCCCGATCTGGAGCCGTGGGCAGATCAGCAAGGGGGGAAGCCTTGCTTTGCCCAGCGCTTCGTTCTTACTTGTTCGTGGACCACGCCAAGGCGGTGACCTTGTTGATCTGCCCCTGAGGAGGCAGGGCGGTCTTCCAGTGCCTCAACTGCATCGCGCCCCCAAGCTTGCCTCCCGTCGCCAGCGCCCAAGGTTCGTCTTTCGTCGCCCCGCACACCAACACCCAACGTCGCCCACCAAAATGGCCCAAAACGCTCAAAAAACCCACCAGAAAATGGGTAAAAAATGGCCGTCAAAATCACCGCCTGTTGGGCTCTTCGACAGTTGGGCTCCACCGTCTCTGCAGCGGGGCCGGTGCTCAGCGGCCACCCTGCTGCCGTCCGTGCCGCCGGCGACCGGTCGCTGACCTCCGGAGGCGTGGCGATCGGCGGGGATGATGCGCACGGCCCTGAAGTCGCTGCGGCGGGCGCTGCCCCCCGGGCTCCAGCAGGCCCGCTGGCTCAACGTCCACGAGTACCAGGTGCCGCCCGCGCCCCGATCGGCCTGACAGCGGATCCAATCTGCGTGAATCGTGTTGATGTTGCCCGAGGGAGCTTGTGAGGGATCTTCCGCGCTTTGGGCCCCGAGTTTGGATGCCCCGTGCGGTATCCTTGGATCCTGACTGGCCGGCAGACCTGCGCGCTTCGCCGTCTTCGGACTGGTTCCAGATCGGCGGCAGATCGGGCGTCGTGTTGTCGATCTTTGGACGGCAGGCGCGCGACGGGATCGAGCTGACGGATCTGGGCCTCCGCGGTCGTGGGGGTCTGCGCGGCGTCGCCCAGAGTTTCGGTGTCCTTGACGGGTAGGGGGAGGGGGGTGTTCTTGAGCGGCGCCTTGCCTGCAGTATCTGCCCATCTTGCATCCGCTTCCGGCTGGACTTGCCGGATGAGCTTGGTAGGCTTGGAAGTCTGCAGCTTTGCCGCGGCAGTCGTACCTGATGGGTTCCAGAGCACTTTTGTGCGTGGGCCACATAGTGGCAGAAATACTTGTTCACAGTGAGCGAGCACTTGCCAACACAAGGGCTGCCAGGGTAGGGACAGATCAGCATTTGCACTGGTTGTCGGGGCTGACTGGCTGGTATGCCCAAGCGAGAGTGCCAGTGATCAAATATGCAACGGCGAATCTATTCTTGGTCATTCTCGCGTGCAACCTTGCTCAATCGATCAAGGACGCAGCTGCGCCAAAACTGCCCTTTGGGCATAAAGGATCAATGTCGTACATTGTGCATCTCCCCAAGCCGTGCAAGGGCTTCGTCCAGTGCGCTTTAACATGGAAGTGTCCCAACATGAAGGAATGCGCAATTGGCAAGAAAACATGGGCTCAGTCAGGCTGCTATGAGCGGGTGAGCAAAGATTGTGTCTCAATTTTAACCTGTGGGGTAAAATCTTGCAAATTTGCACAGGGGGCAGAGTTGATGTCAAAATATGGAGTAAATGTTCCGCCAGGAGTGGCGATCACAAAGCTTGACGAGCTTGATGCTGCACTGCAAAAGATGAAGAATGAAGCTGGTGAGGTGCGTTTCACCTGGGCTTGTCATTAGGCAAGAAACACTGTGGTGATGATTCCATGTATGCAGTGAACCAAGCATGGAGAGCTTCTGAGCACTAGTATTCTTGCGATGTCAGTATGCCAGCCAGGAAACAGATTTCAGTGCATTTTCCCTCTTTGGAAATGGTTGAGATAATGCCATGTTACTCAAGGAGACTCCAGTCAGCATTTCGATCTTGTCACTTGGACAAGTGGGTCTCCAGTTTGCCACAGTAATGAAGGCTTTGCCAGGCAGCAAGGGCAGGCCTCCCTTGTGGTGCTGCACCAGCTCAGCGGATGCTAAACCTTGCATTCAGGATAGAATTATCACTGTTTGCCTTCTTTCCAGATGCATGACAGCGACTGGGATCTGCTGGATCTGTGCATCGGTTTAGCAACAAGCATCCTTTGGTGTGAAATGTCGTCACTCTTTCCTTGGCCACATAACTGTGTTATTTTACTGTTTGCTAATATATCACTTGTACATTCCTATTCACCGTGTAACTGTTGGATTGCTATGCTATTGCTTTGGAATGTTGAGCTGGAACAAGCTTGTCAGGGATCGGCACTTTGTGTGGTGCGAATAGCACAAAAAGTGGAGTGGCAAACTGTGTATTTTGGCTGATTTTTTACTTGTGTTCCGTTTATTTTGTCGGCTTGGAAACCTTACATACAGAAATTGCTACATGATTGATGCCATGAGCCTGGCGAGGAGCAGCATCACTCGAGAGAAAGGCCACACATATTAAATCGATTGAAGTTGAATTGGAAACGACCAGATCCCCTGTGAATTGTCGACACTACTGTTTGAGAAATTCTGATCGCATTGAAATGTCTTCCGCACGTTGGGAAGCTCAAGAGCCAGCTACCTTGAACGTTCGGTCACTGATGGCCGCCAAAAACTCGGCAAAAAAGAGCATTGCTCCATGCAATTTGATGACAATAGAGCTGCCAGCAACAATGATAAAACAAATGCTTTACAAATATAAGTATTCATGCATATGATTGACTGTATCACTAACTACACAATGTCGGGGTCTCCATATCTGCCAGAAACCCACCTTGTCGCTTTGGTGGCAATGACGTGGCATGTTCTGGCACACACTGCCAGTGAGGAATTCCATGCATTTCCTGCATTTGGCACAGGTAGTGCTCAAGAGCCAGATTCTGGCAGGTGGCCGGGGCCTAGGCAAGTTCATGAATGGCCTCCAGGGTGGCGTTCACATCTGCAAAACCGATGAGGCTCCTGGACTTGCCAAACAGATGCTGGGGTCCACACTTGTAACAAAACAAACAGGACCTGGGGGCAAGCCTGTGAACACCCTCTTCGTGGCCGCCAAGATGAAGCTGGTCAATGAGATGTATTTTGCCATCTTGCTTGACCGGTCGACCGCTGGCCCCTTGCTCATCGGCTGCAGCGAGGGTGGCACAAGCATCGAGGACCTGGCTGAGAAGCACCCTGACAAAATAGTGAAAGTTCAGGTGAACAATTCTTTTGCCCTTTTGTCAGTGGGTACTGCAGTTTGGCTGTACAATCCACTCTTGTCACATGGCAACAACAGGGATCTACTCTTCTCATTAGCCTAATAGGTTCCATGAAGAGGTTATTGGAAATGCAAGATTGGCATCTTGTTGCTGTCGAGCACTTTGCTAGCCTTCTCAGTCATTTCAGCTGCAGTGCCCACACAGGCACAAATTGCTTGGTGAAGGTGAATGAACTGGCCAACAATTGATGTAACATTCCTGTCATCAGTACTTGGGGCCTGTTTGGTGGCGGCCAGGTTGAACTCTGTTTTCATGCAGCTACCTCAGTGACATCCAAATTTTGGGGCAAGCACTCATGCAAGGGGTCACTGCCTGCTATCACAACAAGCACAGGGACAGTGCATTTTGCCTTATGGTGATAAAATCAAGTGAAACCCGAATGGGGTATTCATTAACATGAGGCCAGTTACGACTGTTCAAAGGTTCAGGGAGAAGAGGCGGAGAATGAATTGCTTATCAACTTGTCGAACATTCTTGCCCCGTGCAGGTGAATGTGCACGAGGGGATCACTGATGAGCAGGCTGGACGGATGGTGGACGGTCTGAAGGTCACGACAGACAAGGCCGCTGCAGCAGAGCAGATAAAGAACCTTTACAAATTGTTCGTTGATTCTGACTGCACCATGGTGGAGGTGAGTAGAAATGTGCCGACTTAGAAGAACTCTTCTGTGAACATTGTGATATGGCGTTGCCACTGTTGTATATTGACCACCATCTGGTGAGATGGCATGTGAGTCCCCGCCCTGTTATGATGCCTACCTTGTGGACACATATAGCCTGTAACTGGCGTGGTGGAGGAGCCTCACTGGCATGTTCGCCAACTAGCTTGGGTGCTTTGCTCCCAGCGACGGAAGCTTTGAATTGCTTCTGGTACCCCCGCAGCATTGGTGTTATTGTGTGCTGTGCATGACGGCCAGTTACACTTGGCATTTTAACCTAGCATTCCCCAGCCATTGGCATGCAGCATAGAGGGACTGTGTGAGAGATTCATGTATTGCTTGCAAGGAAAGAACGAATAATGTTGGAAGAATCTACAATATGGGCAGTTGAGGTGTCGTCAAGTTGATTTGGAATTCCATGGCATGGCACGCAGTTCATGGCTTACCTTGCATAACATGTGAAACTGGCAAGTATTGTGGAAACAAATAAGTGAGTGCACTGCTTGTTCTGTTTGATGTGCTGATGTAGCAAAGATACAACACAAAAAATTGACTGAGCTTCCCAGAATTCGCGGAATGTGAGGAACAGTGGTTTAGCTCTGCCTTGCACACGATGTTTCCCTGCACCGCCCAAATGAATGAGTCCCGCCCTTTCAAAGAGAACTGATCTAGTGCAAGGTTCACCTCTCCTAACTTGCTGTCGTAACTGGGTACAATTGCGCACCACACAATGGTCAAGTGGCATATCTTGGACAGGTTCAACAGTGCTTGCAGCATTTGCTGGCCCAACCGATGATGTGAACAGCATCGCCTACTATGCTCAAGGGCAGTGCCTAGTCACATTTCGACAGATCCAGTCAAAATGCATCACGAACACCACTGGTTTTCACGATTTCTGCAATTAGAATGAAAAGAGACGTGGGTGGTTGGGTTCAGGTGAATCCCCTAGCAGAGTCGGCTGATGGCAAGCTGATAGCTGCTGATGCAAAATTGGGCTTCGATGATAATGCCTCTTTCAGGCAGAAGGAGCTGTTTGCACTGAAGGATGACTCGCAGGGTGACCCCAGGTGAGTCTGAATGTGTCCAGACTTTGTCGTTTGGGGTTTCTGGAAACTTGTTCTCTGTACTAGAGCTTGTTTGATTGTCGATGAACTTTTCTGAATGCTTCATAACGTCTTTGATGAGATTCTGAGATTTTATTCAAACGCTCTCGCAAACAACTCCTGGATTCTTTGGGTTCCTTTCCACTGATGCTGTGCATGCATGGTATTTCCTTCTTGTTAGAATCGCCTGCCCTGAATCGTGTGTGCAGCGACTGAGCCATATTTGCTAGTCTCTGACAACACGATAAAATGCTGAACAATCTATTGCCAATTTAGGTTGTCAGCATGTTTTATTTGTGCCTCATACGTTTGGCAAGTGTTGATGTTTTTCTGGTGGTTTTCTGCCACGAGAGAGGAAGTAGACATTGCGCGTACATACAGTGGCACTTTATTGCTAGGCTCACTGCACCTGCTGACGTACCACATTGCCCTGCGCGCCGTGCCGTCGACATGAGATATACTCTATCAAATGTGTAACAGACACAGCTATTATTGCTAATTTATTGTCACAGCAACCTGCAGTATGTGTATATTATTACCTGTTGGCATGGTACAGTAAGCTATCTGGGTGCTATGCATTGACCTGGTCTTGCTTGGTGTCTTAGGGAGGTAGCAGCGACAAAGTTCGACCTTAACTACATCGGTCTGGATGGCAACATTGGCTGCATGGTGAATGGTGCGGGTCTCGCCATGGCCACCATGGACATCATCAAACTCCATGGAGGCACCCCGGCGAATTTTCTGGACGTTGGCGGCGGCGCAACTACAGAGCAGGTTCGGATGCACGACCTTTGAAGTTTTTTTTTTTTTTTTTCGCAACGATTGGCAGTTACTGTAAATTCTTGAGTGCGCAAGGCCAGTGCAGGTCCCTAGGAACTGGATGCCATCTGACAATGAAGCTTGTGAGATGGGACATGACCATAGTTTCATATTCCATGTTGTTTTAAGGGATACAGTTAGTCATACTGGCTGAAAAATTGGGACTACAGTGTGGATCGTGTCAAAAGAGGTGTTGCTCAGCCAGGCAAAAGATTGTTGCATCGAGGGTTTCTCCTCATGGAAGAATTTATCGCATTGTCTATGGAAAAATTTGTTCTATATGGCTTGGCTTTCCTATAAAAGAACATGTGCAAGGCTGGAGGCCAAGATTGGTGGCTGCTCGGAATCAAGGACAAGTGAAAGGGCTAGTAAATGTGAACAGCAGGCAAAGGTTTATTGGAAATTGATGCAAACGGGGACACCCTGCAGGTTGTGGAGGCGTTCAAGATATTGACAGCAGACAAGCAAGTGGAGGCCGTTCTTGTGAACATATTTGGTAAGTTGTAGCCAAACCTCGTCGCTCATGTATTGGATTCTTCTTCGGCCAGTGCGTTGATGCATGTCTGAATGGCATCGTCCGATATACAGGCTGTGCACACACATTGATCACATCTGCAGGATGATGCTCTCTCTTGCGAATACGCCACCACCCTTGAGGCTGTGTCAACGTTAAAGGCAACGTCCTTGTGCCCAGCCCCATGCTTTGTTCAAGTGCAAATTTGAACTGGCCCAATCAAAGCAGCAATGAGGTTCAACCTGGCAATTTTGCTGGATGCCCAGTCACCTGTGCCGTTTGTCTTCTCTGCTGTTCCTCTGTCTCAGTTTTGCGTTCTGCTGCCAGGCGGGATCATGAAGTGTGACGTGATTGCGACTGGGATTGTTGAGGCTGCCAAGCAGGTGAGCCGATCCCATATACTTTTGCTCCATGTCAGATGTGTTGTGTGCGGTGTGGAATGGCCACCCACCGATGTTGAGACAGCCACCTTTCCCATGTGGTGATTGACCACCTCAATCATCCGCTGAGATGTGGAGACGGGGGCGAAACAAGTGGACGTTGGGGACACGTATCTCAACCTGTCGTGAACAAACACAATTCTTTACCGATTTTTCCAAAGAATAATCAATACGACGTTGGGGAAGACAATATTTGCAATTTGGTACGCTTAGCGTCAATATGAAGTTAAGCTCAGGTACCCCCCCACCCCCCCCATTGATTCCAGCATGACTCAGCAACATGACCTAACAATGCCGAATAACTTCGAAATGGTTTTAAGGAAAAAACCGCCCAAATTGTGGCGATGATGTGAAAAATGCGATGCCAAAAGCAATAATATTTGATGGGAGCAGCCCCAAAGCCTAAAAACTGATCCATCCTAGGAACAACCTTGAAGATGGAAAGTGTTGAGGGAGGTTTTGCAACAAGTCTTGACCTGTCTGCCACTGATCGGTGGCGTTGTCTATGCATCTTCCCACATTGTTTTGATGTTAGTACAATACCATAACCTCTTAGCGTCAGTGGCTGGACCACCCTCCCTTAACGTCAATCTGACGCTAAGCGTACCAAATTCAAAATAGTGTCTTCCCTTACACAAGCATGCTCATGTCAGCTTGTCCTCTTTTGCCACTGATCTTTCCACAAACCAGGGACCTTTGATGCACTTTGAAAAGTTTGATGCACAAAGAGCAGGATTCTGCACCCTGAGGCATGGGGTGCCACTGTGGGTGGAGCAAGCACGATATTGTGTGCGTGAATACCCATGATGTTACTGGAGATTGTGCCAGTGTTATCACATTTGTGGCCTTTGTCACGAGCATCATGGACTGCATGGTCAACATTGCAGGCGACCATTCGAACTGTACATGTTTTACGTGGTTGGATGACCATGTCTGTCGTTGTGGCCGTGTAGTTACAGTCTTTCAACTCCAGGCCAGGTTTTTGTTGCCCACCCTAGTAGTTTGTTGGATATTGTACCCTGAGCCCCGAACCGAACTGCTACAGCGACAGGGATTTCAGCCAAACTACTGGATTGCAAAATATTGTGGCGTTATTGTGTCGACTTTGATGTTCAACCGAGGAAGTCACGCACACGTTATGTGTATCGCGCTCCACAGGTGGGCATTCGCATTCCCCTTATCGTGCGGCTGGAAGGGACAAACGTGGAGATGGGCAAGGCGATATTGAAGGACAGCGGCATGTCCATCATCCCCGCCGATGATCTGGACGACGCTGCCAAGAAGGCCGTCGCCTCCCTCAGTGGCTGAGCTCCCAACTTGCACATGGCATCGCTTGAATTTGGCTTGCGGCGTGATGGGCATAGGCTCGACGGGAGCTTTGAGAGGGGGGGGCACTTGGCAGCAGCTGCTGAACGAACGACGGAAGAGCGCCTAAACGCGCCTGTGTTTCAGGTATTCTTTCTATGCATGCAATTCCTTTAACGCCTGAAGAACAATGGGACGACAGCGAGCCTGTTTTCGGTCACTGCCAGGCTTGGTCTTTACGTTGGTGCTTTGTGTTTGTCACATTCTTACACGGAAAACGTAGACACACAGATGGGGCTATTTTGTACTGCCGTATCATAATAATCAGTTTGGGTGCAGCGTCGCTGCTCATAGCAATGGAGCCGCGCATGGGCGCACAAGCGTGTGGTTGATTGCGGTGCGGACGCAAATCTGGCGGTTGCTGTGACTGCTTGGCTGTGCTCAATTCGAGAGGCAATGCAAACCAGACTGCTTCATCACTGAGCGGTGAAAGTGATGGAGTGTGGGCGTACCTCCAGAGAGAACGTGGAACAGCAGCAGCAACATTGCCTCGCATGTGCTCAGTGCCCACCCTGCCAAGGTAAGCCTGCAGTTGATCCAATCGCGTATGACGAGCAGTGGCCGGCGCCCCACTCTGCTAATTCCGGCCCCAAAGCAGAGATGATGAAAGGCATGACGACTGCGTGGGCTCGATGCTTCCATTCAATCCATCAAGAAACGCCACAAGGCTCTCCCTTCACCCCGAAGACCACCAGCACACCTTCGACCCCGCCTGCGCCTGCTGCCACCCCAGGCCGCTGCCAGGCTCCGCCAAGGAGCCACACGAAGCTCTCCGCCGCAAAGCGCGCCACTCCTGGCCTCGCCGGGCGCGCCAGCCACGCACCGCCCATCCTCCCCCTCTGTCGATTGCATCCCGCGATTCCCCCCAGACGTCAGCCGCGACGCCTCTGCTAGCGGCATCCCGATCTCGGCCGGCCGATCCGATCCCCGGCCGCGCCCCTCACTCGCACGATCCCACCATCCGCACGGCGCTTGGCGGGAATGGGCGCGCTGTCCAAGCTTGCATCGGGCGCGATTGTGGCGGGCTACGCATTCGCCGGCGGCCTGGCGGGCCTCTTCGGCGCAGGCTGCTCCATGGTGTCCGCCCTCTGCGGCATGGCGCTGGGCCGATTGGGCGGTCGGTGGATTGGCCCCTCGGCGGAGAATGAATCTCCGCGGAGCCCTTGCTGTGCGACGCGGCTGGCGCGCCTGCTGCGGGGGATGGCGGATGGGTCCAGGGGGATGGTTGCAGGGGCTGTTGGCCTGGCGGTGTTGGCCGGCATCGGCTTGTGGGAGAGCTGCAGGGCGGCGGGGGAGCCCGGAAGTGGCGGGGCTGACGGCGTGCAGCTCATAGTGCCCATCCTGGTGCTGGGGGAGCGCGGGTGAGTGGGCAAGAATTCTCCTTTAAAGACACAAACCGCCGTGCGCAGTGACGCTTGATCTTGCCCTCCAACAAAGGCCGTTTTGCCCGCAGTCGGTGCCTGGTTTGATGCGAGGAAGCCTGCTGGGACTTAGGCGCGCCGCGCGGGGGAAGGCCTTCGGGCAGCGTCGAACAGAGCTCGGCAGTGTGCTGGATCTCGCCCCGGTGAAATCTCAACTAGAGATGCGTTTTGGCGCCCAGTGCGCGTTTTGTGCGCAAGTGCACCCCTTCCTGGTTGGGTGAGTGTCTGAGCTGGGCTGCAGCAAGCCAGGCGCAGCAGCCCGCCTTGGCCCTTTGGAGCAGCATGGTTGTTTCTGGCAATGCGGTTGGCTCTCTCAGAGGGCAGCGTTGGCCCGCAGGAGTCAGCAGGGCCTGGCCACACCAACTCGAGGACAGATTGGGTGTTTTAGTAGATGACGGATTGCGCAACACTGTCGGAGCAATGGTTGTGGGAAATACCGCAGTGAAAGCAAGTGCTGCTGCTGCAGAACTGGCGGGGCGAGTGCGGTGAGGGGCGAGAGCCACGACGTTTTGTTGAGCAAGGGAACGGCATTGGCAGACTTCAGCATCGAGACAATTCAATGCGAAGGGACGAACGTGATGTTGCAGGTGTGGCAATCAGCAACGACTTAACTTTCCAGCCTCCAGGTGGCTGCGGCAGCCGTCGATTGCCCTGCGTGACTGTGCAATTGCCCTGGTTTGTGCGGGCATCAAATCTGGGGTGCACTGCACCGGAATGGTCGTCCCATGTCTACAAAAGATCTGCAGAATTTTTAGCTGGAAGGCTCACACCTTACAATGAGGACGTCCTTTGTTGATGAAGGCTTTTGCGAGACTCCTTTCAGCGCTATACAAGGTGCTGAAGAAGTTGTCGAGAGCAGTAGGATTTGCCAGAAATGAACAGGAGCACAAACAACAAGTACGTGTGCGTGGGTGTGCCCTCAAAGGATCACTGAATCTTTTTGTTTGTGTCTTGCAAAATGCTGGATTTGCGCTCCGCAATGCACACACAACACGAATGTGCTGCCCTGCATTCCACCCTGCTAAAACTGAACCTGAAAAAACAGCCAAGCTCGATTTTTCTTTGAAGAGGGCGGTGCCAATGCCATCCATTCGGTCTGTGGCAGGCACTTTTCTGCGAGCACAATCGGTCTGTTTAAAAGGCCACATGTGACTACAACAGACGCTGTTATGAGCCCACAGCGCAAAATGAGCCAGAGCGATTTGCTGCTCAAGCGTTTTGACCTGGAAACTTGATCGCATCGATAATTGCAGAAAGGTCCAAGAGATGGGCTTTGAACCACCAGAAGTCTCTACACATTTCCATACGTTGTTTGACCCCTGGGATGCAGGTGTGGGACGTCCCAAGCTTCAGCTGGCTGCTAGGCCCTGAGTTCTTCCAGAAGGCCGAGGGCTGCCTACTTGTGCAAAACACCGCATCGAGCAGCTCGCTAGCTGAGCTGCAGGCATGGCTGAGTCTGCTCCAGTCCATGGTACGCTATGAGCCTGTGCACAGTGATCCCTGCCATGCTGTATGCTATTAATACAGTGGCTCATTCATGAACGTTTCTGTCATTGTTGCTGCTGAACATGCTGAACAGCAGGACGTGTTCGGTGCACGCTAGGCAGTCTCCAATCACCTTGTAACGGGGAATCGCATCCTTCAAATGGGAACGGCCCTGCCGCCCAAAATCACCAGAAAAAAGAGAGCCAAATGACACGTGTTCAAATGTGTACAAAGTTTACGGGTTTGTGTTATTTTTGTGTTCTTAGCGTGCAGAACTTTGATGAAATATGTTTTATGTGTGTTCGAAAAAGTGTTATGTGACCCTTTTTTTCCTAGTGAATTTAAGACAAAACAGTAAAATGGTAACCTCCACTTTTACGCGACACAAGAGAAGCACCACCGAATTGCCTTGATGGGCTCGGATCCTTATTTGTGGAATTTATCATTATCTTTCCATTTTTCCCTTCTGCTTGCTTGTGGCGTTCAGGAGCCGAGAGCCTCGGCCCGATAACAACAGACAACAATGGCACTCTAAAAACAATATACGGCTTCAGTACAGAAAGCGGGCGAAAATATCGGTATTACATTGTCTATTGACTGGAATTCCAGTTGTATCAATGCACTGAATGCTGTATACATTGATTCACATCTGGATTTAGATCCGTCGTGCACAACTTGTCAATGAAACAGAAGGGGCTCCTCATGAATCAAACCTTTTACATTTTGATCGACTGCAAGGAACTATCAAAATACTGTCCGTTTTCATATCAGTGTTACAGACAACATCGCAAAGCCTTGCACACTGCAAGCCTTGCACACCGCGCTGCACACTGTTGCTGCCAACAGAATTTGTTTAACCAACATTCTAGAATGGTCGTGCCAGGTTACCGTACCTACAGTAGTCAAACGGTCAGGTGAAGTGTTCGCCATATGCGCCTCCGTTTTGGTGTGATTCAATCCCATTGAATTCGTGACCTCAGTTTGTGCCAAGCAGCACGGAAATATGAGCGCTTTCTCGTGTTCGCTTCCCCATTGGAAACGGATAGATATGTGGGGTGAGCCTGGTCGACAATCAAATTACACAGATGCGCCAAACCTGCGGAAGAGTTGCAATGCGGCGGAATATCCGCAGTGCTTATCTCTGGACGTTTGTTGCGTCGTTTCGAAGCAGTTGTACTTACGTGAGAAGGCTTTGTCCCGCACCCCTAACAGTTGATATTTCTTTGCCAGGCTATTGAACACGAAGGGGTTGGACTGCCAGTAGCACCTGTGATACTCCATTCGGATGGCAGCCCAGAAGATGCTCCTCAGGTGGGATTCCTGTAGGTGCATTTGCTGTCTAGGCCCTGGGAGGAAGTAACTAATGCTCCTTTTCTGGATCCTTTCTTCCCGCCTCCACTTTGCTAAGCGAGCCAGAACCTGCCAGTTCCCGTTTCATTGGCCCTTCCCATGGAAAAGAGCTTTGTTCCAAATGCTTACAAAGAAACTTGCGGTCATCATGCATATTGGCGGAGAGTTCTTTCCGACAACTCTCCGGCAATATGCATATCAACTACAAGGCTCCTCGGAAGTAGTTACGTATCCATTCTGATTCGTCGCAAATCTTAACAGCCTTTTGTGCAGCATCAAACTGCATAGTAATTTTCGTCAATTGATTGCCTGCCGGCTTAACTTTGTCAAACTGCATCTTTACAGAAGCCGTGGTCAGTGGCCTGTTGCATTGAAGTCTGGTACCCACACGCACACAAGCCGATGGCAGTAATGACGTTGCGATTCGGACACATGCCAGTCCGACACAGCGTAGTATCTTACAATGCACATGCTGCTTGTGCCATGGTAGTCCCGAAATTGTTCCGAGTTCATGGCTTGCAGCTGTACCCATCACCCTCAACATGGCCATTACTTTTGCTGCTACCTTCAGTAAGATATGACATTGTGCTGCGGAGCTTGACCATGCGCTTTGCGGTACTCTGCGGTGCAGCAGCCTGAAAGCGTCGATTTGGAATCGCTACACTGGCCTTCCGGTATACAAAAGCTCCCCACACACCGAATGGACTCCCTCACAGATCGGCCGCCTCTACGGGACGCTCTTTTGAGCGTCGCACTGGCGGCGCTTCAAAACCGGCGTCGCTCGGGGCGTGCCAATGGCAGTGAGCACGCCTTCCGGTGCCACACCTGAACGCGAGGCGGGGAAGCTGCACTGGCGCCTTCTCGCGAACAAGCCATGCACGGGCTGCTGATCGGATGTTCTTGTTCATTGATCCCTTGCGAAGGGGCGTCATGTTGTTCGATGCTGCAGCCAACGTCCTTGCTTGCACCTTCTGAAAGCGCACCTATTTCCCCATGGGGGAATGGACCGCACGCTTGCGGCAGGCAGGCTGGCGCGAGCGCGGCGATGCCCAAGTCTTGTGCACGTGTTCTGCATCGCTGTATTCGCCGATCAGCTCAAGAGCAGGCTCGTGGCCGCCAGCGTTTTTCTCCGCTCCCTTACAGCGCCGTTGCTCCAGTCTCTGTGTGTTGTCCAGTGGTGTGGGGACTGCAGCAGGGTGTGTTGGTCGCAGTGCAATCCGGCGCACCTGACGCTGGCAAGGGTACCATAGGCGATCGCCTATGGTGTCTATCGCGATCGATCAGCGGATGGTGTTGCTGCTTTGATGCACGCGCATCAAAGTTGTGTTCTTCGTGGACGCAACGTCTCTGGGAAGAGCTGGAAGGTCAGGTCAGCTTGGATAGGCAGGGGGCAGTGGGTTTGAGGTCCGTGCCAAGGCTGGGAATTACCTCGCAGAATGCACAACAACGAGGACGTTCTCGCTGTGATAAATGAGCAATGCGACGACTGTCGGTAAAGGCACCCTCGGGGGGGAACTCAATGTTGCTCCGCTGCCTTTGTACCACAGAGGCAGCCGCCAGACACCTGAAATGTTCTCATGGAACGTCGCTTCTGAGCAGCCTGGACTTGCACCCGGGAGAGGGGAGTGGGGGCGGGGCGGGTGCTGGATACCGTTGAAGCAACGGCAAGGTTTCAGGCCCTGGCAAATACTGTACATGGCGCAATCGTTGGATCATTGGCAAAAACAGTCAAGGGCCCTGAGTGAGCCTTGATCCCCTTGGGCTCCCAAGCCCGCCAGTGCCCTGTGCACTCAGTCACTGGCGCTACATAAGACGCATAGTAAGAAGCTCAAGGAGACCAAATGGTGCGACGCGCCCGGAAGGTCTGTCACGGTGCCCCTAGCCACATAGACTTGGACGGTACGAGGGCCGACCCAAGAATGCGTGGGCGACCCATTTGTCGTAGACACGCCATCCCTCAGCCCCCAGCGGCCCCAGCCCACGGTCTGGAAAGTCCCATTCGCTACTCGAGTGGCGACCCAAACCGGCCGTAAGTACGTGGCGATGGGTGAAGGGTGTGGGACTCTTCGTCCGCCAGCGCCCCAGTACATCCCGTGCTGGCCCGACCGGAACGTCGTACGCTGCTTACTCCCACCCCAACGCCCATCACCTCGTCATTGTCTCGGCGAAACAACAGTCGGAGGGGTTGCTGCTGTGGTAGCGACTGCGCTGCGCGGACGCCCCTCTGGGCGTCACCGCGGCCTTGACCGTCGCGCGCCCGAGACTTGAGCAGCGGAAAACACGCCTACTCACCCAAAGTTCCTCTCAAGCCTGCCCCTAGTAAGGCCGCCTGCACGGAGCGCCTCTGGAGCCCCTGCCCGCCACAGGCGGCAGATGTCCGGCCCTGGGGCCGCCAGCGACCCAGCGAGCCTTGCGCGCACCCCTTCAGGTGGGCTCATCAGCGGCGGTGGTGGTCTCTTTGGCGGGGCGGTGTTGGAGAGGCGTTGCTGGGGGCGGGGGGTGCAGGAGCGGGGCAGCCGTCGAGATGCACATTCTCGAAGGGAAGGGAGGAGGGTGGAGAAGGGGCGGTGGGATTGAACTGGGCGCGGCGATCGACCCCCGGGGAGGAAGTCGCGGTCGCTGTGGCCGTGCGGGGTGGGAACCCTTGTGGGGCTTCTGGGGTATTGGGTCTGTTTCAGATCGGGCCATGCAGCCTTCAGGCCCTGGAAATGTGCGGCGCCGCCGTTGGCAGCGCCCGCGAGCGTTTGGCCCCGGGCTGCCTTGGTCGGGTTTGATGAGCGTCTGCGACCGGCCGGGGCGTCGTGCGGGCGGCTGCAATCGGCCCGTGCCTACGGCGGACCTGCGCTGGCGCCGGCTGCTGCCCGTGGAGCGGGCCTGCCCGTCCACCTCCCTCTGCCACACCCCCCTGAGTCAGTACGCGGGAGGCCAGTACTGGGGCCAGTACTCGAAAGGCGGGCGCGGCGAGCGAGGGCCGGACGGGACGAGCGAGCGGGATCACAGCACCCGTGCGTCGAGGCTGGCCGCGCGATCGATCGCTCCCCGCATATCGACAGCCGGGGATGAGAACTGGCGCCGGCGCCTATTGCACCCGCGAGGCCCTCGCAAAGATGCCGTGCCGCGGTGCTCCCCCCCCGCCCCCCGTTCTCCCCCTTGCCCTTGCCCACGCGACTCGCTGAGCGTGACTGATCCATGGGCCGGATTCTCGGGCCTCTGCCAAGGAGCCCCGTGGATCGATTCAACGAGCAGCAGTCCTTCTGAGCGGCCGGGAGCCGGTTGCATGTTCGACGAGGCCGCGTTGGATGCGCAAGGCGCCCCCCCCCCCCAATTGGCCGCCCGCAGACGACTTTGATCTCCGCCCCCTGGGGCACCCTAACGTGATGGCCCCCGTCGTACCACGTGACGCCCCCGAGGGCAGCCAGGCTTGCTGAGCCAGCATCCCCCCCGTACGGGTCCTAGTGCCGCTGAATCCCAAGAGACGTCAGGCAAAGACGTCCCCACCGTGTTGGCACGTGTCCCATTGTACCAGAACCCCTCCTGCCCCCCTGCCGCTTGTCGGCGTTCCCGGTCCGCGGATGGCAGCGGCATTCCCGGCGGTGCCACGCTGCCCGCCGGCGGAGGATGAACTCGAACAGGCCCGTACGATCAGTCCTTTGGCGTCGCGTGCCTTGGGCGATGCCGCGCATCTTCTCACGGGGGGGCCGCCCTCTTGCCTGGGGTTTGCGGCGCAGGCGGCGGCCCTGATGTCCGGGACTCGGCCGAGGGGGGTGCCCGGTCCGGCGCCTCCGGGCCGATCGGTGGGTTTGTCCGGAGGGCCGGAATGGTACTGGGTACGTCAATGGCGGGCGATGGGGGCGGATTTCCCGGCTGTAGAGAGCGGGGGAAGGCGCGCGGGAGGGTGAGGTGTGGGGTGGGGTGGGGTGAGGTCAGCGGGTGGGCGGGGTGGGTTGGGGATTGGGGAAGTTGAAGGGGCGGTTTTGGTACTTTGGGACGAAGGTGAAGGGCATCGGCGATGCGCCCTGGGCGGGCGCGATGCAATGATGAGGGAGGAGGGGGCGCGTGGCGCGCGAGGGGCGCGGGCCGCGCGTCGGAAGGGAACGGGGGATTTCCCGGGCGGGATCGAAGTGCGGGGGCTGAAGGGCGCGGGCGGTGTGTCTGCGGTGCAGAGGTGTGGTGGACAGCGAGGGAGTGGCCGGACTGGCTGCCCAACATCCAGCAGAGTGAGGAGGTACGCGAGCCGCCGCGCGAGGCCGCCCCACGCTTACCCGGCCATGCGAGGCCCCCCGCTGCGATCGCGCCGCGCTGTCGGACCGCCGACTTGCGCCGCGGCTTTGATCCGCGGACCCTCGCGGGAGTGATTCGAATAGGCCACCCCGAACGAGTGATGGAACAGTGATGGAAAGGGGAGGCTGCCAGCAGGGGAGGAGGTGTGTGTGGAGGACCCAGACGCACCGGAGCTTTCCCTGGGACCCGCGAAGATCTGCACTCTTGGGGGCTTGCCATTGACGAGGCGCGTGATTGGCAAGCGTATCTGGGTTCATTTCCCAGGCCACTGCCCACCCCTCCGCCACCCCCCACCCATGCCCAACGACGCTGGCCTGCGTAATTTGAGGCGCCTCTGTGCATGTGTCTCCAGGCCCCGCGCCCAGGGGACCCCCCAAATGGCTGGCAATGCCTGCCGGCCGACGTGATCCACAGGATCCTGCACGTTTACAAACGGGAGCTGGGCTCCCGCGTGGTGAGGCCCGCTTGCAGGATCCTGGGCCAGGTCAACAAACACTGGCACGGGGCGCTCAACGCCGAAGTCACCAGCTTGCAGCTGCGCGCGGGTATCCCCCCAGGGGACATCTCCCGCCTGATGCGGCGGTTCAAGTACCTGGAGAGGCTCCGCCTGCAGCAGTGTGACCAGGCCTGCCTGGCGGCCATATGCGCCCACCCGCACTCGCACATGAGGGTGGTGGACCTGCAGGGCTGCCAGGAGGTCACAGACGAGGGGCTGCTGCGGATCGGCGGCCTGGGCCGGCTGCAGCACCTGGACCTCACCAACTGCGTGCAGGTGTCCGACGACGGGCTGCAGGCGCTCACCAGCCTGACCTCCCTCAGGTTCCTCAACCTGAGGGTAAGCTGGTCTGGCAAGACGGCTGCCCCCGTTGCTGCCTGCCTGCGGGCCTTCACGCCCAGGGGGTTCTCCGCCCTGGGCCGGCTACCCTCCCTCACGGAGCTCAGCCTCAAGGGGCGCAGGGAGGTGGACGATGACATGCTGCTGGAGCTGGCGGAGCTCAGTGCACTGGCCAGCCTGAAGCTCAGCACCACGAACATCACTGACAGACACTGCCCCGGTGCCTCGTGAACCTCAGGGCGCTGGTGCTGGGCTACTGTGGGTCCGTGACAGCCCAGGGGATGAGGCCGCTGTCCAGGCTGCAGGCCCTGTCTTGCGTGGGCTTCAAGAGGTGCCCGAGGGTCGTCAGGAAGGAGTTGATCAGCCTGCGCGCTGAGATCCCCACCTTCCTCAAGTTGAAGCTGTTCTGTCACTGAGTGTTGTGCAGTGGGGAAAGGGGAGTGCAGTGGGTGATTGTGGGTTCAAACCTGCTTTGCTGACGTTGGCAAGCGATGGGGAAAATGCCCAGGGTATTTGGAGACGGAGGCAGTGCGAGTTAAGTAGGCTGTGCCGGAAAGGCACGTTTTGTATGGAGGAAGTAGGCAGGAGGAATGATTGTGCGTGATGATTGGTGGCCGGAGCTCTTAGCCCGTTATTTTGTTGGGAGATTTTTTTCCTTCAAGAGAACGTGCACACCCAAAGAAACGCATACATTGTCCATGGAGGGTTGAGTGAACAGCAGTAGAAAGGAAGGCACATTGCCGAGCTGGCTGCTTCTAAATATAGATAGCATTGTTATCAAAACCAGGCCTGCTGCTCGATTATCCCGTTGTGGGAGGTTTCGAATTGAGCTGTACATTCCTGGTGTTCCTAGACATGTAGACAAAACCCGCTTTGCTCGTATGTTTGTTAGCGTATCAAAAGAGCAGGAGAGATCTGTTGGAACCCAACACTTGCATTGGCGCCCGACGGTCTTAAACACCCGGCCAACATGCTCTGTGGCCAATCTTCGTTTATCTGCGACGTTTCCGTTATGTCCTTTGCCTTCGTTGCTGGTGAAATGCTGTGTAGTATAGTTCGCCATGGAAGTGCTCTTAGTGAAGGCATCGGCTAGGATGTGCGAACGCCGGATGCAATTGTGGTCTGCAAATGCTGGCTATGCTGCAGCAAATCGAACAGTTCCCAAAGTGATCCTTGTCGACTGGCTTCCCCACCCACCGCCGTTTCTCCCTGATGCACACTCCCCTTCATTCTGTCTGTCGATCATCAGCTCGTAATCCGCTGGGCCAGGATTTATAAGGCGGCGAACATTAAAGGCTTTGCTGATCACCGTTGAGCATCCGTCACTGATCACCGCAGTCTGTGTCCTTCCCCTGGAAGGCATCCAGGCCGCCGGCTGACTGTACACCCTGCTCACCCACTGTCCCGTGGACAATAAGGGAAGACATTGTCGATTTGGTATGCCTGGCGTCAATTTGACGTTTGCCCCAGCAGCCCCATTGTATGACGCTTTGTATGACCTGTTTCTCTTTCTTTGTTTGCAACAAATCTTATATCCCCCCCCCCCCTGCCTTAGCTTCATTCCTTGTGTGTTGAAACCAGGATGACTCAGCAACATAACGTAATGGTGTTGTACAAACTGGTGATGTTTTGATGAGAGAACAACAGCCAAAAATCTGCAGCGATTGCAGCTGCAAATTGAGATGCGAAAAGCCATGTGTTCGATGAAGCCACATAATGGGCACCGTTTCAGTGGGTGACTCACTTATGTATTTGCCCACGACGGGTGTCGACCGTATGCGCGATACACACTGCATGGGATGGCCCGAGCCAGCTACATTGCTGATGAACAACAGAAAACAAATAGAAAGTGAGAACACTCCTGAGAACATTAGGGCTGCAATGCTCTCGGAGCGAATCTCACCGGGGAACGTGAGGAAGGCAGAAACAGTCTAGAGGCACCATTCTGTGCGTTCATAAGATTCATGTCACCGATCAGCTCCCCAGTCTGGTCAGGTCAAAGGCTATTCTGGGAGGCCCTGCACAGGAAGGGTGTAGGCTAGAGGGAAAGTAGGGCTCACTGGACTGTCCGGTGACGCCCTGATCCGTCAGGATCATTTAGGCCGTCCGACCTGACGAGGAGGACACATGGTCTGTTGGTTTGCAAGAAAAAATGGGGTTTCACGTGACTAAAGGGCTACAGTGCAGAAAAAGCATGACCTGAATTGCACTTGCAGCACAGGGCGCATGTGAACGAATCAGTTGCCATCGGCTGGTGCACTCAGAAATGGGTGTGCACATTTAGTGTATCCTCATGACATGTATGCTTATGCCCTGATGCTCCACAGGAATGCACATGCATGCATGAAAGCTAAAGGGCTGTAAGATGCCCTGACATATGTGCTGTAGGTTTTCTCATGGGTGAGGGAGTCACGTCGGCGGTCTGAGGGGAGCTGGCACCTAATCGTCCTGTACGGCATGTGGAAAATATTTTCCCATCACTGCCATGAAGCCCCGCGAGGGTCATGACCTCAGGGAACTACAGCAAGGGATGCAGTTGGCTTTATGTGGTTTAGCATGCATGTCAGGCATGGATGCCTATGTCTGAATAGAAAAGAGCGGGAATGAAAGAAAAGGGACAAAAAAGAGTGGTGGTCCTGGTGGGTAGGAAGGACATGGGCGGAGGGTGTTGGAGTGTAATGTGTGGGGCACCATGCCGGGAATCCATGCAGACAGAGGACCCCTGGAAACCTGTCAAACAGGAGTGTCTTCGGGACTTGTCCACGCGGAACGTTGAATCAGAAAACGCTAGAAATGTTATCTTAAATGATGCGGGGCAGTGTGGCAGCAATCCCACAAGGATTCGCCAAACAGGCTGGCATGCCCTGAGAAAAATGGGCATGTGTTGAAACTGTTGGGCACATTGTTTTTTGTGCATTTTGCGCAGCAGCAATAGCGCACCGTAGATCTCCACGTAGTACTCTATGTCTTTGTATGGTCAGGGGGAAGCATAGAGTACATTAGGGCAGGTGTTGAGCGAGGGCGCTGGGAAGTGCCGTAAAGTATGGTGGCATTTCATACAGTACGTTGTGATCATCACTTGACCACTGAATCTGATGCCCATGGGTTGCATGGTGGCAGCAAGGGGGCAAGTTTGAAGGAATTATGTGATGGTAAATGATGGTGACTGGGATGGTAGGCCAGCAGAAACCACCATCAAATCATGTGATGCTCGGTGACATATCTTCCTCAAACTAATCCTTTGGAACTAAAACAGCGTCAGCCTACGTCCTGGATTCCACTGCAATTGGTTGTGATTTGTGTCAGGAGCTGTGGGACTTTGTAGGAATTTTGTATGAACATGATTGGAAAGCTGTTCGGTCACCACAATGGCACCTCATCATTGACAAAATGAGCGTCACGCAATGCGCCCTCACTTCGTCATTCTGGCGGCCAGAGAGGCCCAGGCACGGCCTGCACAGGGCTTGGAACTCCGATGTACCACCTCACCGGGAGGCTTACACACAGACGGAACAGCGCTCCTACACCGACTATGGTTCCCCAGGACCCTAGCCAGGACGCCAACTCCAATAGGGTCCCAGTCAGTGAACAGAAAATGACGGCATCTGTCTCATTTCAGCTGTTGGGGATGTCATCTCTTGGCGCGTAGGCAATGACTCAGATTTACCCCCCGACCCTCGACTCGCCCGCTGTCCCGCACCCCCCGTTTCCGCTGCCCCCTTTAGCCGCTCCCGGGGCGGTCGCGTTCCGCCAACGCGGCCGGCGCCTTCAAACCACCCAGGCAAAGTTGTCGGCAAGGGCTTCCTCCACGGCCCCACCACCTCACTTTTCGCACGCGTCCTCTCTGTGTTCAGAGCCGGGCCCAAACAGATGCCCCACTACGCATCTGGGATTTTTCCGAGGTGGCGCTTCTCGTCGCTGATTCCCCTGCCACGAAACTGCTCGGGCAGAATGGAACGACTCTGCCTCCTGATTGAGTTCCCCTGGCCGTTTTTCAGCAACCCCCCTTGGCGTGGCAACGCCACCGCAAGCCACCTTGCCGGTGAAGGAGGCCCATGGTCAACTCGCCCCCTCCCCCCCTCTGAGCGCCTAGGCACATTGCCAATCAGTGTCCGCGCAGGGCGCTTTGCAGGTTCCTCGGGAACAGTCTGCCCGGTTTGTTCATGGATGCACTGTCGAGCGCATGCACCTTTTTGCGGCTGGGCCGCCACGGGTTGGATGCACGGTCGTGGGGTCCCTCGGGGACGAGCTGCTTCGCATGTGCTTCAGGAGTTGTTGTCGGACAGACGGCTGAATTGCGTAGGCCCCGCTTAGACAAACTGCAAATCAGTCATTGATGCAGTGATGACTCGTTAGGGATAGGGGCCAAATAGAGATGACTCAGTAGCTCACTGATAGTACATAAACATCAAGGTTGGGTAATTTGGTGACGTATTGGCCGAGATAAGGTTTGATGCGATTGGGCCCATTGTGGCCCAAGGGAACCGATGGAAAAGGGTGGGGTGGGGGTGGTGGGGGTGTAAATAGGATGGCTGAGGGAAGGTTTCCACTCATTTGTGATTACACTATGAGATGTTCTAGTGATCGTGAGTAAGCACAAAGAGTACTTGAGAGCGTGTTCCACTTTGAGAAACGCAGAAGACTTATCGTCATGGCTAGCTCAAATTCCACTGGACCGTCCGATGCACGGATGGCATGGATACGGCGACAGCGGGATCAACGTGCCCCGCCCCTCAAGGAGGATGTTGAAAAGCTTGCGTCAGAGGCGGAGTAACACATGGCGGAACGCCTGCGAGTGCCTGTGGTGTCCGTGCAGTTTGTGCTCGGAGACGGCCGCGTTGTGTATGACGAACATTGGTTATATGCAAGACGACTGAGGGACCTGTGGTGGGAGGAGTGGCAGCGATGTATCGAGAGGGATTTGGAACTTCACGGTGCTGTAAAGGCAACTGCGGAACTGTTCAAGGTATCGCTGGAGGGTTTTTCTGACACCATGAAGGAATGATTCATAGCGGATTTGAAAGTCAAGGCGCGCCATAGACTGGAGGCTGCATGGAATGTGAGTGCATGGGATGTCGAAGAGTCCCGCCTGAAGCAGGAATCAAATATGCCGGTGCTTCGGTCGGCACATGAAATCCTCAGTGAGCAAATCAGGACTACTGAGTCGCATATTGTGGAGAGTGTCTTCAACCGTGGTCTTCATGTGATCTTGGAGGCGGCTCGCATGGGAAATCACGAAATCTAGAGTTTATTTGCAGAGCAAGAGGCTTTGGGATGTCTCCCTCCATGTCCCCCATCGTAGGAGCACATGCCCCAGGCCGCCGTGAAGGCCGTGGACAAATTTCATGCACGTGAGCGAGAGTTGAAGGAGATGCGAAAGGTCGACCAGATGAGGGTGACCATTCAGAATTGGTTCGCGAAGGTGGGGGGTCGCCCAGAAGTCTACCTGCCCCCGGCAACGTCGGGGTCGGAAGCGGACCGCCGGAACTGAATTGCCATGCATTCTGCATGCATGTGGTCGATCTTACGATCGCGGGTAGGGGGAGAACCGGGATGATGCGAAGTCTTGATGTGAAAGGGATATGCCAGCCCCTTTGGACGTGCGGAGACAATTGCAGGCGGGCCATGAGGGGGATTCAGTGTGGCAGGGAATGCCTCACGCGCACCACGAGGTGACACTTCCCCGATTGAAGGGCCTCATGGGAAATGTCAACGCCGGACGGGGTGGGGGGGGGTGGGGGTGGGGGGGGTGAGCCGGGCATGACGCTGTGCAAGACCGGGACCCGCCTGGCAGCCTGATGGGCGGTAGCAACATACCACCATCGATGGAGTTCGACTGCTGCAGTTTGCAGCAAACGCTCTCGAGGGGTGTTACTCGCCCAAGACGCCAGCCTTGAAGAGTGGATCAAAGCCTACGAGGCTCAGGGGGGGCACAATTCCCCTTACCTTAGCAGACAATCTGAAGGAAGTCAGAGGGTGGCTGGCGGACGCGGCTCTCGTGTGGGGCGACATAGAGAAGCAAGCCGAGGAAGGTGCCCGAGGCAATTTAAATGTGATAAGAGCTCACTTTGGGTGGGCCAATCCAAAAGATACCGAGTCCCAATATGAGCACCGGGTCGAAGAAACCTCAAACCAAGACATCCGCGACATCATGCGCCAACAGGCCATGATGAACTGGCGGATTTGGGCAGAGAGTGAACTGCCCTTCGACCCTCCGGAAGTACTTTCCGAGAAGCGATTGAGGATGAGGTTCCTAAAGTGGATCCGTGGACAAAGGTGGGGAATAACGCAGGGTAGCCCCATGTTCGTTGGAGGTCGAAGGGCTGGGCGGCGAGGAGTGTGAACAGATGCTGAGAATGATGTGGCACTGAGTGGATGTGGTGAAAGCGGTGTTTTGATTGAGGGGGACTACTCACAAGTATGCAAGAGAGCCGGGGATGTTGGTGGACTCTTGCTGGAACGGAGTGGGTAATCAGGGGGCCTTGTGCAATGGAGGCAGGAACATTTGGATTTGACGTGGATAACGATTGACCCTTTCCAATGAAGGGGGTCATATAGCAAACGTCTCGGGGGTAGAAAGGGGGGATCCTTGTTTGATTATATGGGGTCGTGGAGGTTGTGCTGCAACAACCCCTCCTTGTAACAATCGAGTGTGCTCGGTTGTGTTCTCTTTGACCCCGAAAGGCAAGCCTACAATGCTGTTGCAGGTCGTAGGGACTTGCGGCTGCATCTGGCAGCCTGTTCCAGTGTGAATGGCCTTCCTGCCCGTTGCTCCGCATACACTCTCGCTACGAGTCAGAAATCCCCTTGGGGGTGTCTTGGGACTGCACTCAAGTCCACGCTCCCGGTGTGGTGGTGACGCGAAGCCACATATTGTTTCATCTTCTACTGCGGCGCACACCCCAAGATTCTACTGGTCATTATGGCTGGTGGAGTTCAACAAAAGTATTGATCATTTGGCCATTTTCCTGTGATGGGCTGGGTTGTATGTTAAGAAAACAAGTAGAAAATAGGAAACCAAAGTGTCGTTTGAAGGTCATTAATGCCCTGAGAAGGTTATAGACGCTTCTTTGGTTCTGTTCCTGTTCACGAGGTACTGAAGTGCAGCAAAGTATGGGGAAGGTTCAGCCATTGAGCGGAAGGGAGTCTTGTACATTAGTGTCATGTTCAGTGCGTGCAATCTGAGTCTGCATTGAGTCATCAGTTTGTGGCTGTGCCATGTGTGAGATCGGAGGGGCGCTGCCCCTGTGGAAGGGGCCACATGTGACCTTTTGGTGTCCAAGTTACCTTACCATTGTACAAAAGAGCATTGTGCGCCTGTGAGGTCGCAATTCTACCATTCGTTCGTGTTCAACACCCTAAACTTTGGGGTCCGATGGTGAGATTCTGGCTGCTATTTGGGTGCCTTGCGAGATGATCGGCCGCGTCATGGGGAAATTCGTTGAGCGGCAGATATTCTGGGCGAACGCTAACGGTTGCACCTGTATGGATTGCCTTGTAAGGGCCTCAGAGCTCAGATTTCCAGTCTGCGTCGTGAATCCCGACCCTGGCATGGCGCCTTGTGGCATGCCGCACGCATCCCCCTGGGGACGCACTTTAAAACGCAGGCCTGCGTCTAGGGGTTTTCTTGCCACCCGCTCTGGCGGAAACCAAACCACCGGCTGTGAAGCTGGCCGAACAGGCCGTGCGGTTCGCTGAAAAGTGCATCGTGGCTAAAACGCGCTGAAAAAGCGCTGCCTGACACGCGATACGGTCAACGCACAGCCACATACGATTCTGCCGTAGAGGCGCATGATGCCATGAATTACGGCCGCGCGGCACGGTAGAACACACCAAAAGGAGCGTACAGCTGCATGAAGCGGCGCGCTGCCCAGCGATTGCCCCGAAATGGCGCTGGGCGGACATGTAATGATACCTAAAGGCATGCGCGGCGAGCGATCTTGTGGTACACGATCCATGTCGACGCAGGTTGGGTGCTGTTTTTTTCAGCACCGAATCGCTGCCTACGGTCGACGATGACGTGTTCTTGCTCCATCATTGTAAAATGGGGGGCTCACGCGCACATATTTTTTGAGGATTTTTGCGAAGATTGAACGCCAAGGGGAGGTTTGGGGACAACTCATGAGTTTCTTGCCGCCTTTGAGCGGGGTACTGGGTATCTTCCAAGCTTATGTCGATTTTGTGGCAATTTCATAATCTCTTAGCGTTACGGGTCCAGCGACCCCACCCACCCACCCACCCCACCCCCGCCCCAGTCATCAAATTGGCGCGGATCCTACTAAAATCGACATATTGTCTTCCCTGACTCGCCTAAAACGCCATGCCTGACGCGAGTGCAATTGTGGGCATCGAAGGGAATGTCCGGAACGTATTTCTCCCATGCCGCGAAGGCGCTGTCCGGCTCTACATGCCCTCTTCTTAGTTCACTTTGCGCAATGTCTTACTGTCAGCACACGGAAGCACTCCCCACTTTGCGTCGTTCCAGCGCTATTGGCTTGAATCAATGCACTTAAAATTGTACCGATTCAACATGGTGTCTTCCTCAACAATCAGCCATGAAAATGTGAAGGGCTTGCATACGCTGCTGGCAGTGGTGTTGCCCAGACGGTATTGCAGCGACAACATATACAACGGGTTGCAACTAAGCACAGGCGTGCAGGAACTGGGAAGCGGGGCGCACAAAACCAAAAATCGTGCTTAGTTACACCAGGGAAAACAGCGCGGTGAACACCCAGAAGAACAGGCTGTGATTGCGTGTGGAACAAAGATTACTTGGCCATACTCTTCACCACTGACACCACGCCTTCATCGTCGACGATGCCACAGGAAACGCCGGAAACATCGACTTCACGGCTCAACCTCAACACACAACCATACCCGAATAGTCAGACTCACGCGCCTACCATACTCGCTCCATACCACATCAAATACTCAAATTTGGCCCCCGCACCAGTCAGCTATCGCCATTACCAGCCACCACGCATCGACCAAACACTATCTCGTTCTGAGATGCAATCGGTATGTAGCCATCTTCACAAAAGTTGGACTGCCCACCCAGACCCCTACCCTGCTCGCCCCCACTTTGTGCTAGCGTGCCACTCCAAACAGAAACAAGGCTGCTGGCCAGCCATCAGCAGCGCCGCAGCGCTCGCTGCCCTTTGCTTCCCGATCAGAACCTAGACACCTGGCCGTTCCCCAGAAACATGGGGATGGCGTCTCGCCACCCCATCGACCCCTCAACTGCCGTGCTCTTGACAAGCAGGCAACACTCCACACATGTATCCGGCAAGGCCACTGGCAGCAGTGGCCCTGAACCTCAGCAGTGGCACAACTCGTTGGACGCCTTGTGTCGGACATCGGCATTGCTGTGTCCGTTCCTCAGCACCCCGCAGCGACCCACCGCAGCACAGCCGATGCCGAATGATCATGAGCGCTGCATCCCGGCACGGCCACTCCCTCGACATTGGGGAACTGTCGCACGCTCGCAACAGGAGGCAGGTGCCACGTTCCGCGGCACAGCCCTGCTGCTCTATACCCCTTGCTTTGGCTCTGGGCTTGGGGCGCTGCTGCAGCCCATTCTGCAAGCAACGGCAGTTGGCCCAAACTCAGACGCCGGCAAGTCAAATAGCAGTTAACCGCATGCATGACAGGGAGAACAACACACGCCAAGCCTTCAACACGAGTTGGGACCTCCTCTAGGGAGCACGATGGGAGGCAATCGACGTTTCAGCAAACTTCTTTCATAAAATCATTCTGCGATCAGCAAAAGGCAGATGGGGATGCAGCAGCTGTGATGGCCAGAACTAGTTTCCATGGTGTCTATAACACAAATACTACAGCTTCCTGACAAGCCCAGTGTCGGATGCCCCTGAGGGTCACAACCACATAACCGGATGGCTGACAGTCAACGTTCATCCTGTCCGATGGACATGACAGCACCTTTGCGGCAATGTGGATGCAAGGCGATCGCATCAAGTACCATGCACTGACACCAAGTACAAAGGTACTGCATCCGCACCGCAATGCTGCATGGGACACCTGCCCAAATTCCATGCAGCCTCTGTGCCCTCACCTCGAGACGATGCGGATGGCCAAGCTCCAAGGGACGGTGCCTGCTCCGATGCCAACGGTCAGCACCCACTCGTACCAAGTCAGCGTGTTGACTCTGAAGAAGTCCCCGAAGGGTGTGGTCATGATGATGATCTGGAGAACAACAGTGACGACAAGCACCCCAACGAAGATCTTGCTGGTGAAGATGCCGCTCACAAAGTTGTACTCGTCAGCGATCTTGCGAGAGTTCACTTCGTTGAAGACCTGACAGTGCAGCCACAAGGACGATGTGAGCCAATCACATAGTGACTTCCTATCGACGAATGCAAGGTGTTTGAAGAACCTGCAGGCTTTGTGGCAACTACAACTTCAGCAGCATCTATGGTGCACCAACTGGATGCCCAAAGCACAGGGCAGGTGGATCATGGCTGGGGCTGTTGAAAGGGCACATCGGTAGAATACTTGTCTGAAATAATGCCTGTCTGTGCTCTTGCACTATGGGTATACGGGCAACATGTCAGGGCTGCAACAAACGCCAAACTGGTGGCCAGTGGTACCCAAATGGACTTCAGGATGAAGCATGGAAGTTGCTGCAACGCTGGCAAGAACAAGTATGAGAGCACAAAACTAACGCATAACAGTGTTGACAGGATTGGTTGCAGAAAATATGAGGAAGACTGCTCCACCTGCATGAAAATAAAGGTGTTGAAGATAACTGAAGAAATCCTCATGAAATGGTCGTCCTCAGCATCCTCAAACTCATCCTCCAATTCCTCAAAAAACGCCTTATCAACCTCTTCTTCCCGGACAAAGTCCTTGTTCTCATGGCACTCCTCCAACTCCCTGGAGCACTCGAGCACGCCATTCTCAGCAAAGCACAGCTCTGCCGTGGACTTGCCCCTAAACTCGTCATGGTCCTCGCACCACTCGAACCACACCTCCTCCTCCTTGGGCTCGCGATACCTGGTGCACACACACACAACAGCTCTTTATGGCACCCCTGTTGCACCACGGCAGTGGCCTCTAATGTCTTATAGGCAGTGAAAGTAACAATACTGCCCACCTGAAAGCACAAGGTTCCAACATACTCAAACCTAAGCTACAATCCTGTACATATCAGTTGAGATTCTGAATTGCAGCCAAAGCCAAGAACAGATCAGCAACAAAGAGGAAAGATCAGCATTGTATGCTCTAGTGTCAGCGCTCAGTACAAGAGATGCACACACATGCAGAATCCAAACAATGAACTGGCAAAATATCCTGATTTTGGCACTGCTAAAGTGCTCAGATTCACAATGCGCCAAGTTCACAAGACGCCCAGGAGAGAAAGCACAGTGCAAGGAGCTATGCACCATGTAGACAGAAGGGAAGAGTTTGCTGATGCGAGGCACTGTTAAATTAATACAAAATCGCTTATATACTGTGGACAATTATTCAAGTGCTGAGCAACAAACACTGAGCAAAATTACCTGTCAAAATGCTTGGGCATTCCGTACAGCAGCAGCAGCAGCCAGAACAGCTGGTACAGTCCTCCCAGGAAGATGTGCTTCCACATCTTGGAGTTGATCAGAGGTTCCTCCCGGCCATAGGGCATCGAGTCCAGCAGGTCCCAGGTGGGGTGCTCGGTGGCCAGGGCCAGTGCAGCCATGGTGTCCATGATGAGGTTCACCCACAGGAGCTGTAGCACAGTGAGGGGGGTCTCGCCACCCACAATTGCCGCTGTAAAGGCCAGAATGAGAGCCACGAAGTTGATGGTGAGCTGAAACTGGAGGAACTTCCGGATGTTATTGAAGACGGAGCGGCCCCATAGGACAGACTGGAGCAACACAGAAAGCACAAGGACTGGTGAGTGGCGAGTGGTGGTGAGGCAGGCCTGCCATAAGGTACCACAGTCTGCAGCTGCTGAGAATGTCAGGCCAACGAAGACTACTCATGCCCAAAGACTTGCTCCCAAAACCATGTTCTCAACATTTCTGCATTGAAGCCGCTTTTCACTGCAAAATACAGGTCAAAGCTCCGATCTATACTGTCCGATACCCTAGATGTCACCAGGTGCTGCTCTTTCAAACAGTTAGTACTGGCATCCGTGTGCTCAGTGTGGACAAAACTGGCCACATTCAGTTGGTAAGAATCCAGACCGTGGACCTCAGGAGCCTTACCAGTGAGACTACAATGACCAGGGTGTCAATGACAGCACAGGAACACTATGTTTCGACCCTTGACCGTCAATGTCATCCGCTTAAACGCGAACAACATCTACCTGCACAACCTAGACTGCTAAACACAACGTCGCAGTTTGAACACCAACAACAACACCAGCACCAGCCATATCCTCACTGCAGTTTGCTGCTTTGTCATGCTGCAGCTCCTGTTCTGCTCCAGTACTTTCCATCTGCTGTTTCTGTTTCCTACCATCTGGGGCATAAAGAACCCTTCACTGCTGTGCGCCAAGCTTTGTCAGCAACTCGCAAATGCCGTGTTGTGCCCCACCTTCACAATCGACAAGAAGTTGTCATCCAGAATCACGATGTCCGCTGCCTCCTTGGCCACCTCCGTCCCTGCGATTCCCATGGCCAGGCCAACATCCGATTCCTTCAAGGCTGGCGCATCGTTGGTGCCATCGCCCGTGACAGCCACAACCTCGCCCATCTTCCTCAATGTGCTCACAAGCAAATGTTTATCTGTGGGGGAAGAGCGTGCAAGCACCTAGAGCCACACAGAATATTGTGTTATCCAATCGCACATGAATCAATACATCAATCAATATCTCTCACACTCACAACAACATAGTATAACAATACCTCTGTCTTCTTGCTGGCATCCTTTTGCTTTTTGGGTCCAGGGTACGCAGACTACCATAAAGGCAGCAAGGAAGGATATCTGGAACATCATCAAGTCTGCCTTGATTGTCCAGATGCCACTCTGATTTCAATAGGTGCCAGAGCGCACTTGCCACAACATGAAGGAATCCATTTTTTAGGGTAACGGAAACATTAAGGCCCACCAGCAGCCTCCCTCTGTAGCCTATGGTTGGGGGTGATTGGCATGCACTAGATTGACAACGCACAACACACCTCCTTGCTTTGAGTAGCTGAACAGCAGTGTGTGAATAAATGAAAGATTGACTGTATTCTCTGCATTCTGGGTCCAAAAGACACACTGCTTATGGCATGTGTCTCTGCTGACTTCAGATAAAAAAACGGAGTCAAATTCCTTTGTCGTTCACAAGGGCCTCCCAATGGTTGTGAGAAGAGCAACCCAATCCTCACTTTGCTGGAGCACATGGAAAAGTAGTGCTGCAGCAAACAGATGGGTGCTTTGCACAACAGCTGGGCAAGGCTACCTGCAGCTTAGGCAGCATCTTGATGAGCTCCTCTTCAGGCATGGTCCGGAACTGAGGACCCTCCAACGCCACGCCACCGTCCGTCAAAATGCCACATTCCTTGGCGATGTGCTGGGCAGTGTGAACGTTGTCGCCCGTGACCATCCGAACAACAATCCCTGCCTTTTGACAGGTCGCCACAGCACCAGGCACTTCCTTGCGCACAGGATCCTGCAGCAGGTGCAGTCCCCAAGTGATTCAGCCGCAGCTGAGATATCATCAGGGAATATCTTGATGGTTGGTGCAAAGGTGAACAGGACATTTGCTTTCTTAGGCTGACAGAAATGCTGCTGTCACAAACAATCTGAAGCTCTCATCCAGCATTTGCATAGATAGCAGGCCAAAAGTCAGGCTCACCTTTATTCCGACGACAGCCATGAGGATCAAGTTCTCATCTGGTGCATTGTCAAAGAAGTTTGACGCCCTGCTGGCATCCTCTGCAGGGAAATCTGTGTATGCCAATGCGATGGTGCGAAGACCTTGGCTGGCCATCTCTGTGACATAACTCAAGATCTCAGCCTTCTTCGCTGCTTCAAGGCTGACCACCTTTCCAGTTGTATCATGGTATGAAATGCAGCGGTCAACAACGATTTCGGCGGCACCCTGCAAAGAAACCAGTGATCCCCAACTCAGGGCAAAGGCAACTTTAGGATAATGTGTGCCTGCCTGGAAACAGGGAGTGCCGATCTTTCCCATACAATTCACTCGGAGTGCCAAAAAGGCAAGCAGAAGATGTCAAAGACACTGCAGTAGACTAAACCCATTAACAAATCAGGTACCGATTCAACGACTTCACATCACTTTGAAGTAATGCTCCACACTCTCTGCAAAAATTGCAAGCTCCCCTATTCAGTATTGGGGTTTGCAGTACAAAGGCTACTAGTGAGACTCCAGTATCAGCAAACTAGTTGCAGCACAACTTCGAAGCCACCAGGAACACTGCTCTGATTCAAATAAACAGCCACCAGTGGTTCCATCCTGCTCCACGTCAGCTGTGCAGGGAAGCCTGACAGTGGATTATGGTCTTGTGGCCACAAGCACTGTCCAAGTACACAACGGAGACAAATATTCCTGCTTGAACCTACAAAGAATACCCACCTTGTTATAAAGACGGAGCACATCCCCCTTGCGCACCAATATGCTTGCCATCTTCTTTGCTGACGAAAAGCCATAAATCTGAGCGCAAACATACCCTCAGGGTTAGTTAAGGGTTAGATAAGGGCAGCAACTTTCTTGCCCCTCGACATGGTACGCAGATGCATTAAGCTACACATTGAGGTGTCCCACACAATAACTGCCATGCCGCTGTCTGTGACATCCTCCAACAACGGCCCAGCAACAATAGTCCAACAACCATCCAAAACAGAGCTTCTCCTATTCACTAGTTTTTGCTTCTTCCACAAAGACCACTCCAAGTTCCAAGCACAGCTTTGTTGTGTCCACATGGCTACAGGTGTTGTGGTTCTTGTCGCCAAAGTGGCCTGTGCCGGCTGAATGAATAATTTGTGTCCAACCAGTCCTTTCAGCCCTCGCACCTTCACATAATCGTTCTCAAAGGTGTCCCTCAGTTTCTTGTAGTCGCTGCCCCATGCCTTACCCAGCATCAGCAACGCGCACTCTGTCCTGTTGCCGATGAATTGAATGTTCTTGGGGTCGTCCTCAATCAGGAAAGCCTGCAAGTGCAGACATTCACAGAGTTGATGAAGTGCTGAACAAGCACATGCTACCACTGCTGATTGTAAATTGTGCTCCCCTTATACCATCACACGGGCAGACAAACCTACTCCCTATGACAATTCAACCAATCCTCTCTTGATATTCTTGCAAGCTGGAATGCAAAAAATGGCTATCATGGCTATCAGTTTGTGTTCTGGCTTGAAGAGGAG